CCGGCTATTAGTAATAGTAAAGGAAAGAAGAAGAAGAAGAAAAAAAGAGAAGAAGTAGCTTGCAACTAAACCAATATCCGGGATAGCGGTCAGCATTTGCAAACATGTTTGCGCGCATACGACAAAGAATATGCCACCGGAAGGCGTGAAACAGAGAGATCTTTCAATGACAACAACGTCTACATTTATACACATACATGTAAAGACAAAAAAAAAATGTCCAAGAGCGTCTCAAGTGTTGTTGTGCGCAATGAAGGGATCAAGTAGAGAAAAAAAAAGAAAAAAAATTGAGTAGGATTGACGAGAGATATGCAACGAGTTTTGAATTCATTAAACCGTCAGATAAGCCGGCAAGCAACTGAACAGGTGATGATGATGCACCAAGGCGTAGTCAATCTTAAAATCTTAAGCTTCTTTTACGACAGGTGATGTGATGAGATGCAGAAAATACTATTTATCGATTTAACTGAACGTTCTTTTCTCCTTCATCATTGAAAACAAAAGAATAAACAAGCAGAAATTCTTTTATGAACCTGTTTTTTCTTTCCGTGTTCTATAAAAATCAAGACAGTTTGTGATATTTGAGAGAAACATCGAACATAATGAGACTTTTTAATTGTAAAAGAAATATGAAGAATTTCTTAATTGAAATAAAAAAAACATCTGATATTCTTATTCGATCATTCTTTGAACAGGATCCAATATATAAAAAGATTTAAAATATGATTCCACTTGAAAATACACCCATGCAATAATCCTAATCATCTATTTGAGTCGATGTCTAGAAATATGATCTAACTAAGTCATCATAGAAGTCTATAATGTCAAAACTTCAAATCTAACGTTGTTTTATAAACATTTTTTTTTGAAATTATTACATTCTAATCCTATAGATGAAAGACTTGTGACATATGTTAACGATAGTTATTAATTATTGTTGAATAGCCATGGTTGATTTTTCTATTACTCTTCTGAATAGATAATTTTGAAAAAAAAACACATTTCTCTCATGGGGAGGCGACTAGTTCACGTAATGCATTGACAGTCTTCGTGTATTCGATTACGATTTTATTGATTGTGCCTAACGAAGCTTGACGTAGTGTCACGCGCGGTGACATCTTCATACAAATAGAATAAAAAATTCTTTTTCTTTTCTACTTTATACATAGGCAATACATTAAGAGAGACGATTTTCACGCCTTTGAAAAAGTACATCTTCTTCAAGCAGATAGTTTTATTGTCGAATATAGATAGAGAAGAAGAAAAAAATAAAGATACTGGTTTGCGTTACCGAATCGCTATGTAGTTTATCCACTTTCTATCTAAATACCCTCTAGCAACACGTATATATATATATATATATATAGACATATAGACATACTGAAAGGATTGATTCAAAGGAAGTGTGGCAGATTTTTATCTATTTAACGATGCAAGTCAGTCCAAGAGAGTGTGACATTTTCTATTGACAACTTTATGCCGTTTAGTTTTAAAGATAGATAAAGCGAAGAAAAAGAAAAAGACGTTTGTTTATTATGCTAGATTTTCTCATTAAAAATCTTTAAGAAATATGACGCACGTTCAAGTAGAGTAGTTGTCTATTCATTAAAAGATAATAGGTGCTCGTTTATAAAGCGGCAATCCTTCTTTTTTAGAACTCTGTGTAACATGAGCATGATGAATCTCATTTATCTTTAAAAGAAATTGAATTAGAAAAAAATAAAATACTTTCTGAAGTCAAGTTCCGTGTTATTTTTTCACATTTTAAGTAAATAATCAATTTTACCTGATGATACGACAAAAGAACCATATTATTTATGTTGTTATACGTCTGCGTGAATATTATTTGTGATATGTCCTTAAGACAAGCTTACAACTAGAAAATCATTTCTTTTTCTTCGTAGCAATACGTCCATTGGTCAATATATTTATTTTATGTTAATGATTTTTTCTCTCTCTCTCTCTCTCTCTCTCGCTCTCTGGGTGTTTCTCTCTTCGTTCTCCTATTGGAAAGTATCAATATATTTATGCACAGTTCATTACGATCAATGATGAGTAGAATGATTTTATTTCATTGAGGAAATACACCTGTTGCGACTAATATTTATCTTTGAAGTTCAATCGTATACATTTTATTTTATTTGTTTCTTATTGATAAAATAATGCTGGGAAAAGATTATCAGTCGTTGCCTTCTTGCGATCAATAAGCGCTCCTTTCACTTGTTGAGTAGGTCATTGAGCTAGTTGTTGCTGGTGTATATATTGCCGGCTTTGCTCATACACTTTTTCACATCATGCATTTAAAACTCGTGATCATTGTCGTCGAGAATAAGTGCCACTCTTTTCTGATAGTGTGCGCTTACATTGAAACAAATCTTCCATTTCATATTGTGACGATAACAACTCAGTAGTATTGAAATAGAAGAAGAAAGTCGAATCACTTAATGGCGACAACACTTTTCTAATCAATTCAATTGCAAAGAAAATCAACAAGTCGAATGGAAACTATTTGAGACGAAGAGAAAAAAAAAACAAAAAATCAATCATCTCTCACTCAGTCCTTTTATAATGATGTGTGAAATGTAATCATGAACTTAAATTGATAGTATTGAATTTTTTCTATTATTATTATTATTCAAACCCAAAACACCTTACACGCTGTCTAAACAAAAGCTCGTGTCTGAGAGAAAAACAAAATGACGAGAATAATACTTTAAAATAACAATCAATCGTGAATGCTATTTTTTTAAAGATGTTTCTTTTGTTTTTGAAATTTAAATAATTACATCGATATCCACGTATGTATAGACGTTCTCTTAGTGATCCTGTACTCAGAGTTATTGGCGTCAGTCAAAAGCCTCCGGAAATGGATAGATGTGTAGTAGAAACATTCATAGCAGGAAATGGATACAAAATAAAATAATAATAACAATGACATATTCTGCCAATTTAGCTCAAAAACATCCTTTATTCACAGAGGCAATTAGAGAGACAGAGAAGACAAACAGTATGTGTATCCTGCTGTGCGCGTGCCAGTTCACATTCTTCCTCTACTTTTGATGTCGAAAGAAATATGACAGCATACATATGATTATGTCGTTGTTCAAGATGACTCGTTTTGCTTTTTTTCTACTTTATAATCAAATCAAATTGGTCGCATATATATATATATATATGTATGCGTATGTACATTGCGTTTTCGATCAACAAGTATCTTGCTGTGAGATATCAATGCCGCAGATTCTTTTGATAGTACATATTCACACCAGTGAGTTCTTCTTAGAGATATTTTGACTCTTATGTTCTATTACGAACAAAAATATGAAACAGTGAGTAAGAGTCCCGTGGTAGGCAAATGACATCTAACACAAATATGTGAAGATGATATCAATGTATATAAAAAAAAAGAAGAAGTATCTTATTGAAGAATCTAAATTGAAATGGGCCCAGCTTGCTATAATGGATATCAGATTGAATAGAAATTTTCGACCTTCGTCTGTGATAGTTAGCTAGAAATTCGTATACGTATATAAAAACAAGGACATCCATGATGCAATAAGAAAAAATAATCATATTGATCTCGATAACGAGCTTTTATTTTGATAATTACAACTAATAGCAAGAGTGCATCCTTGATAACAAATATATATATATATGTATATATATCAAACAGCAACATTTTTTCCCCAGTTACGCTTCGTTTTAACTCATTGAATATCATTTATCTAATTTATTCTAAGCGAATCAAATGATTTACATAATTCAACTTTTCTTTTTCGTTGATCATTCAATACTCCAAAAATACATTTATATATATATATATATATATATATGCTATTTGAGCTATTTTCCCTTTTAACTAGTCCAGCTGTCACTTCGCTAACTCAATTCTCTAAAAAGAAGAAAAAAAAGAATTGTCTAGCCTCACAATATACACTGTATTATTTTGTATCGTTGATCATCGAGTGCTTGCTTCTTGTATGTACATTTGTACGGGTTAGTTCAAGCACGAAATTGCACATGTGTATATGTAGGGTTGCAAAGGAAAGATACAAGCAACAGGAAAAAGGAGATGAAACCTGTAATAGCTTATATTAGATGTTAGTATACGGACGAATGAATTCTTTTTTTTGCGATTGTTCGCCTTTATGTGTATGTATAATCTCTATTCACTATTTGATAAAGCAAAAAATTGCTTATAAATAGAAGTGAACCGATACCGCTTGAAAAGATATATACACATCTGGATATGTCTTATCATTTGATAGACTTCCGTGTTTTTTTCCTGTGATATGTGAGCGAAACAAATCATCAGAGGAAGACTAATTTAAATTATAAGTCAAAAAAGGAAAACAAAATAAACACTAATTTATGCGATTGATCTTATTATTCAATGGTGGTGGTATTTTTGAAAAAGAAAAATCTACTGAATCGAAACAAACACATTAACTTTCGCTATTGTTATTTGTTAATGACGTAGGTAGTATCAGTCTACATATTCGTATCTAATTGATACAATGAAAAATCTATTAAGAAGAGATACGTATGTAATTATATCACGCAATCTTTGAATACATAAATCGGACAAAACAAGAATCGTAAGTTTCAAAACAACAAAGATCTTATGAAAGTAGTTCAACCATAGGTGTTCTTCGTCATAAGACTCAGGCAAGTAAATAAGGACTTTTGTTATCATAAAAGCAACTTTATCTATTATCAAATCTGACAAGATAAGTCCAGACGAAGCTCAAGAACGAACTTACTTTGACGTCAATAGATTACATTTTTAAAAAGAACTCGTATCTTTCAAAGAATTATTCAATTTTATTTTACCGTAGTACTTGTTATGACTGAAAAAAAAACCAAAAACGAGTCATCTGAACTACTTGGTTATCACGACAGATTTGGATTATATTAGCATACAACTTAATTTTATATTGTTATATAATTATAGAAAAATATGTAAATGTTTCGCGTTGAATTTTACATTGAGTTGAATTTTAAAAATAATCGCCTGTCCAAAAAGTTGCATGGCCACTTAAATAAGCAGCTTTTATTTTTTCTAAGATTTCATTTGATAATCGAATGTTACGCATCATCGTATGATCATTTTTGCTAACACAAACTGTGCCAGCCCATTCTTCTAATTCTTCTAAAGTCATATACTGTGGTACAGTATGAAAACGAATAGTTTTAATTTGTGGTTGTCGTCGTCGAATTTCGTTAGCTGCTAATCTGAAGAGTTTTTTTTCCATATCAACATTGGACGCTCGCCATTCCGATACGTAAACATCATTGACATTATCTGATTTAGTTATAACAATATAGCCTTGTTGAGCATCTCGCAATAAATATACAATAGCATTTTCTTTATTCCAATTCCATCCAGTCCAATGTTGAAACATTGTTGCTGGTGATCGATTAAATTGATAAGTTCGAGGTTTATTTGAATGAATATCAAGTAAAACTTGACTATTAGATGAGAGTATATCATTGACTGAGTACCATTGATGATGATTATCTCCAGATGAATTAAAATGACTCCATTCAATACTAATGGGTGAAGGTAAAGAGATTTGTTCCCAGCCAAGAACTGAATAATGATTTGGCCGTCCAGTACCCAAAACGGATAGATCGAATTGTTCACTTTGTTCCATTTTTGTAATAGCCATGCGTAAAAGATGACGAGAATATCCATGTTTTCGATGTTCTTCTAAAGTTGCAACATTCGCAATGGCGCCACATAAATATTCTGTATTATCATCACGAGATCGAATATGAAGACGTCGAATATGTATTGCACTAACTAATTTTTCATTAATCCAAGCACCTAACGTATCACCTTCTTGGTAATTAGGTGACGCTTGTGGATCGAAATAACGTTCGAAAAAGCCTTTTTGAGTAGGAAATACACTATACCATAAATCAATGGCTTGTTGCTGTTCATGTTTTTCAACAGGCCGATAAATAACTGACATAGTATTGTTGTTGTCTTCGCTAGAAGACATGATGAATATTATCTAGTGAAAAAAATCTACGAACGACAAAAAATGTAAAAATGCCAAATGAAAAGAACCAAAGAGAAAAACAGGAGAAGAAGAAATATAAGTTAATCTTGACTGCGAATATTTATTTTTGGATATTATAATTATAATTTTTGTAAAATTTATCTTCACTTAGAATTTCCAATACGTAATTCATGCTTACACATTTATTCTTTATCAGGAGAAAATAAAACTTATTTACGTATAACTGAGTCACATATGTGCTGCATTTGTAAGCGTACTTTGTACTTTGATGTCAATGTCATGTACTCACTATCGATCGATCCTTCACAAAAAAAGACTATTGTTTTCAATGAATCGATTTCAAATAAATGTACACATCGATAAAAAGTAATTCAAAACGAATAAACTATATTCGTGTATTAAGATTATTCATTTTTTTCTTCTCTTTACGTTTCGTGTATCAAGTAGAGAGTACAAAATGCAAAGTCCATTCTTGAGTTTAAAAATAACGTTCTAATCTTTTTGTTATTTTCGAGTGTTTTATTTTCAGTTTGAGTAAAAAAAGAAATCAATGGAAATATATCGAATGACGCAACTTAAAACCACGTACTGATTGATCTCAATTGAAAAACAAAAATTGTTATAATATCTGAAAAATAAATTATGTTTATTTTCAAGAAACTATCGAAAAATATAATATGCTTGAATATATAATAAAAAAAAAAAGAGAAAAGAAAGAAAAAGAGATTCTGTACATACGGACTATCATTTTTATATAAAATCAATAAAAATAGCCAAAACCAAAATAACAAAATAAATCAGATCTATGAAATTTATCCTGTATTTCTAAGACCGGCAGCTATACCTGCCATTGTTGTCATCATAGCTCGTGATATATCTGCTGGTATATCTTCTTGTTTCTTGTCAAGACTTCGTTGCATTAATTCAGCTTGTAATGCATGTAACGGTTCAATATAAGGATTTCGTAAGGCAATTGCGTGAGCAAGCCGTGGTGCACTTTCTAACAATTCTTTCTGGTTGGTTATCAGAAGAACAAGTTCACGTATATGATGAAGTCTCGTACGTATTGATTCACTTAATTTCTGCATTGATGAATTAGGTTCAATGAGTCGTTGTTCATAATAGGCTGCTATATCTGTATCGGCTTTCGCAAGTACCATTTCAAGCATATCCATATACATGCGAAAAAATGGCCATGATTGCATCATTTCACGTATACGATCGAGTCCATCAGGATTTTCTTTAAGAAATTCTCCGAAAGCATCATCAGTACCCAACCATGATGGTAATAAGAGTCGAATTTGTCTAGAAAATTAAATGAAAACAAATCTAATTCATTTTTCCTCCATGTATATACATACGTCCATGCAAATATCCATGGAATTGCTCGTAGTGTTTCAACACCACCTTCTTGTTTTCGTTTGGCTGGTCGAGAACCAAGCGGCAGCTGTGACAATGCATTCAATGGTGTAATTCTTCGAAAATAGGGTACGAAATCTGAATTTTCACGTACAACAGAATTGTAAGTACGATGTGCTCGTGCAGCTAATTTGTTCATTTCTTCACGCCAAATTTCTTTTGGTTTAGGCATCGGAAGAAGAGTTGCTTCTAGAACAGCACTAGCATAGATTTCCATTGATAAAACAGCCAAACCAGGTAAACCAAACTTAAATCGTATCATTTCACCTTGTTCTGTAACACGAATACTATTATTAACTGAGCCAGGTGGTTGAGATAAAATAGCTAGAAAAAAGATCAATAGTTTGTCTTTCTATGTTTTTCTTCGAATTACCGGCATGAGCTGGACCGCCACCTCGACCTACAGTACCGCCACGCCCATGAAATAATGTTAATGCAACACCATGCTTTTTACAGACTTCTGATAAACTTTCCTGAGCTCGATATTGTGCCCATGCAGCTGCTAATTGACTAAAGATCAATAACAATATATTTCAGAGACATTAATAAAGAAAAATTAAAAGCATTAACATACCCTGCATCTTTTGCTGAATCTGAATATCCAATCATGACTTGTTGTTTATTATCAATAAGATTTCGATAGGTTTTAATTGATAATAATCTATCAATAACATCACTGGCACAATTCAAATCTTTGAGTCGTTCAAATAGTGGAACAATCTTGAAAAAGTTCATTCATTTAAAAACAAGAAGAAAAAAATGAATTCTCACTGGTAGTAACTTTCCATTTGCCATTTCTTTCATCAATAAGGCTACTACTAATATGTCCGATGGTTGTTCACTCATCGATATAATATAAGTACCTAATGCTTCGTCATTATTCTGTCGACTGATAATCTCAAATGTATCCAAAACTTCTTGAGTTTCTGCTGACCATTTATGTCGATGAGATATTAATGGTCGTTTTGAAAGAAGTTCATTAATTAAAAATTCTTGTTTTTTCTCTTCAGTCCATTCAGAATATTTACTTTGATGAGGTAGAATATATGAAATAATTTCTTCGAGAGCTTCGATATGTCGTGTTGATTCTTGACGTAAATCTAATTTTGATAATGTGACACCAAAACAAGCTAACCGCCGTAATGTATCCAGTAGTATACCATTAGCAATTAGATCAAGTTTATTTTCACATAATGATCGATAGCAAACTTCAAGAGGCTCTTGAAGTTGTTTATACGATCGAATAAGTTGAACATGTTTAGGAATAGTAAATGGTCTATTATCCAATTTAGCCTGTATCCATTCGCGTGTTGTTCGAAGTTGAACTAGTAAATCTTTTATGAGTTCACGATACGGTTCCTTTACTTTGTTATTACGAATTGAATTTAATAATTCATCTCTAGAAAACATGAAATCAATACTGTTTTATTTTTATTTGATCACTTACGATGCTTTTGCCATCGATAATTCTGTTTTCAGTTTTTCTAAATCAGAAATATAAAGGTGAACTGCTTGCCAACGAGCAAGTAATAAGACTTCTGTAGTGACGGCAGCTGTTACATTTGGATTACCCTGAAAGAAAACGATCGTAAATGAAAAAGAGATTCCTATACTAATAACAATTACATCTCGATCACCACCCATCCATGATGCAAATCGTACGGGTGTAGCATGCAATGGTAAACGTTTACCAGTTGTATTCAGAAGTAATTGATCAAGATCACGAAAGAATATCGGTACGGCTTCCCAAAGAGAATTTTCGACAACAGCAAAACCAGATTTTGCTTCTATAATTAATCGAGAGATGCTATTTTATTCTTTAAAAATCAATTTACCATCAATAGGTGACGGTCGTTCATGTCGAAATTCATTTGTATGCCATGCTTGACTAACTAATTCTTCAAGACGCTCGTTTGCTCGATGAGCTGTTTCAGAAACATATTTTTCATCAGATTCTGGATCTAACATTGCTAATAAACCTAAACATTCTTCAATTAGATTATATTTTTGAATTAATGATCTTCGTATAGTTTCTGTTGGATGTGCTGTTAATACTAATTCAATTTTCATATTTGAAAATGTATCGTATAACAATTGACTGGCATTTGTCTTTTCTTGTTCAATACGTTTAAATAGATCGATCAGTTTCGGACGATCAGATACATTACGACTATCATCATCATCGAGACGTTTTGAATGAACTCGATGATGTTGTTCAGCAATATTTGCCAATTGAAGAAATTGATTGAAAGCACGAGCAACAGGCAACAGGTGATTATCTGGAAGACTACGTAGATATTGATGTAATTGAGCACCATCATCTTGACGTTTAGCATAGTCACGTATAGTTTCAAGTTCTCCAACAAAATCTTTGCCTAATTCTCTTGCTATTGTTCGTCCAAGACTATCACCAAGTAATCGAACATTAGCTCGAAGTGACTCATCAACAAGATGACTTTCATTTCTTGGTGCTGCTGGATTTTTCGATGATACAAAAATATTCCAACGATTGTCTATAATAAAAAACGACAAACAAATAACGAAAAAAGTGAATAATTTCACTTACTATTATGGACGTCTGATATATTGCTGAGAAATCTACTGTGATTTCGTGCGATTGTTGCACGCAATAGCATTATTTTGTTAAATTGTTATCTAAATTTACATTTGTTGAACCAAAAATAGAACTGTTGTGAATTATTTCAAATATAAAATCCTTTTATAGGATTTATTATTTATTGTTCTACTCAAAACGCAGGGTTGTCGATTGAGTAGAAACCAATAATTTCATTCTCTTTCTCTATAGTATTCATCTCAAGAGGTCGCTCTGATCTAACATCGATCAATTGTATCTCAATAATAATGCATGTAACATTTTCGGTGTGTTAAACACTCAATAAATGTGGCTACAACTAATGGACGACTCCAGTCGATTTTCTAGATAATTTTCAGTGGCTATCCTATTTAATACTAGAATCTGAAGAAACCTAGTCAAGACACTTTCTCTAGAAGAAAAATAAATCATTAATTACTATATTAGTCTAATTCGATAGGAATCAGTTTTCATAATCTGCTTTATTCATTTCATTGTTATAATTATTTTTGAAATACTTCCGAGTATATTTCTTCATCAAATTTTTCAAATTTTAGCAAAATATTAAAAAAATGCTATTTTTATTGAATGTTTAGAATAAATATTCTGCTATGACTAACACGTTATTCCTATGATGGCAATAGGTCGCTAACTTCTTAATGATAAATTGAGGTCGAATCTTGCTGGAACATTATTATCCCTGGATTTTGATCATCCACAGTACTATTTATGATCGGGAAGGTTGTCGTAAAATAATTTGGTTTGTTCAACGTTTACTTATAATAGGCCCATTACATAAACCATTTTATTAAACCAATATCACTATCAAATGAAAAATTTTTCATATATGAAAGAAAATATTGACTAACGTAAGTTTATAAATATAATTTATGTTAATCATATCCTGTTTTATTCACGAATTGAAGAATTTCTATACGTTTTACAATATACAATAATCAAAATAATATTCACATCGATTTCTGTCATAGATCGAAGATTAGTGTATTTTCTTTTGTTTCTTTATAATGTGTTTAATTAATCTTTGACAAATAAGTTTTCTCCACATCACTATTTTGTTTTAACTTTTCAATGTGAATTGGGAAAAAAGTAAAAAGTAAATATGCTGTATGTTCATCTATCCGTCGTACTGATATGCAGTGGNGGACTTGCTGATATATATGATCAATGAAAAGATAAACTGAAAGAAACGTTGAATTTGTTTTCATCACTCTTTTACTGTGATCACCACACTGATTGTCATATTTTACTTTTTCAGACTAGTACGTCACTTGATAGCTATGGATCTCTCTTTGTGTTGTTTTTTGTATCAATACGCGTGGCTAGTTATGAGTCGAGCTGCATTTATCAAGTTCGAAGTCTAAACATTGTATTATGTTCTCATATTCAGGAGGATTATTACTTATTTTTGCTAATTTTATTCAATCTTTCTATCGAATTATCCATTTGTCGCCCATTCTATTCCTCAGAAAGAAGTTCAATCGATGATTTTCGCCGAGTAAATGATAGTCATCCAATTATTAGAGTATTTCTCAGTAATATATAGTTGAATAGAACAACAGTTATTGTATTGATTTATCTAACTTTAATCTATTGCAGTTATCGAATTCTATAGATACATTCGATATCATAGAAAATTTCAACAGCAAAATTTTATTTTCGTCTCCAGCTTAGAAAAACTTTTGATCTGAGTAAAATATACATAAGTATGCAAAACTTGCATGTAATCACTTTTAGAAAACTACAGTAAACTGAAGAAAATGAACAAAAATAAGTGAACCATGCTGTACAAAAATCATTTATCTTAGATATGACATATAAAAAATAAAACACGAAATAGATCATCGATATGAATATACTTCCAAATTAGAACACACGAGTCTCATTAAAGTTTACAATTAGATTCAATAAAATTTTATTGTAATGCTATGAATTAAACACGAACATTCAATAAATCACCTACATCTAAAGAATTAATATTCTAACTACTGTTCATGGCTTGTATTCGAGTAAATATTTATACAAGGTGATAATAGTATTCAACACAAAAGAGTTACAATTCACTCTTTTATTTCGTTGAAATTCCACGTTATTTGAAATAGATATATCAGACTGTACTGCCTTTTTCTGTTACAGTTTTATTCTCCATACGCAGATTAACATAAAGCAAAACTTTAGATAACTTATTTGAGTATTAATTAGTTCGTGTTTTCTGTTGAATTCCACAAAAAGTCCTCAAATCACTATTGGCTATGATAAAAATACAAAGATTCGAAGTTCTCACTGTGAACACTTATTTTCGATTGTTTTTTAACTTCAATTTAGAATTTTTTAAAGTAGCCAATTATTTTTAGTAGCAAAATATTTATTTGAAATTTCGAATGTAGAAAAATAGTTTCTTTTCTTATAAGACTATACTCAAAGAAATAGCCTGTACAAATTATATTCATAAGGATGAGCTATTGTTAATGTTACTCGATCGATAGATTTTTTCAAGCTTTAATAAAAATAAATGTGCTGTATATTGATGATTTAATTAAATTAAGTAAAAGAGCATGGATAACTATGATTGTTGCACCTGAGTTGAATGCTTTAGAAGCATCAAATACATAGATTATTGAGTCAATTCGAATCATGAATGAGATACAATTTCAAAAATCAAACAAAAACTACATCATCATATTTGAAATGTCATATTGACATGAAATCCAAAGAATTTCAGTATCTGTAAATGTAACATTGTTGAGTACTATCGTTGGAGCAGAAACTTTTCAGCATTAATAAACATCATCGAATCGTTTAATCTGAGCGAAGTTTGGAAAATTGAGTTATTGCAGACACTTCGATTTGTTCACTAAGATCTATTGAATGAATAAAGTTAACATTTAGACTTGGAAAGGTTCCCTTATCTATACTTGACATAAAAATATTATATTACTTATTTATGAAAGTAGTATGGACTTTAATCTCATAGATTCTTTATTTCGAAAAGGTGAATTAGTTTTTCATTTTGATCGAAAATGTAATTTTACTTCTCAACTGACAAGATTCGCTTCTGAAGTTTTAATATAATTTCATCCCGTTCCACAATTACTATGTAATCTTATCATTATTTATGACTTGTCTTCGAATGCTACACGAATCAACTGAAAATCTTGAACAACCAATGTATTTTAAAACATGGGTGGATGAAAAATCTCAACCAAAATCAGCTGCTCGTCGTCGTTCAGGATTAGAATCGATATAAACTAGTCCTGATTTACCGCTGCATTTAGCACATGATTATGACGATAACGCAGTGGCGGATCCACCAGTTAGACTACCCGGTCATCGCCACCCCCCTGAGGATAGAACCCGGCGAAATCTTTGAAATGTTTCTATGATTCAACGCATGATATAATAGATATTGCAATATGATATTTAATCAAAAGATGTCAGCTTTGATCGTGAAAATGAGGTTCAGAATATATAATAAAATAAAGCTCTCTGAGGGAATGACAAGAAGTAGAATAACAGGATTAGTCATAAATATCATCCATTGACGATTGATNGAAATGTATCCATTGCTTACTGAGTTTTTCAAAAAAGCAGTAGTCTCAATTTGCAACAATCACCAGCAACCCCGGTCGAAGAAAACGATCAGTAAACGATCGTATACGATACAAATACGGCTCGTTTTACGTGCCGTATTTTCCCCATGTAACAGGGGCAGTAATACGGCCGTATGTTCTATAGAATACGATAATATTACGCCGGCTTTACGAGGTTTTATGACTGATATACGGTGTCCGTGTATGGCCGTAATACTGTCCCTGTTAAAACGCCTTAATTCGGCTTAAAACAGCCGTTTTACGACGGAATACGATGCAAAAACGAACGTTTACGTTAATGTTACGCCGGTTTACGGTGATTCGTTTTGATCGACCTGGGATATGTGCAGAACGACAAGAAACTTGGCTATTTTCTCCTTTTCTTCTGCTCTCCCACATGACCACTCTACCGTCAGTGGACATTACAACACTTCTAGGAGCAAAGAAACATTGTACAGAACACAAAAACGAAATTTCACATATGTAAATATATTCTTGTGTAAGGCACTTTCATCTATCAGTTGCTAGGTAGTTGTACGTGTGGGTGAGTGAGAGACTAACGCTATGCACGTAGATTTCTACGTAGATTCTGAATCTGTTATCAGTTTTGAGCTGAAAATATTTATTGATTATGTAAAAGGTGAATGATTTGCTCATTTCCCTATTTTTGTACCACTTTTTTCCCAAGTTGCCAAACTTTTTTCACATAAAGTAGCAGTGGAAACGAAACTAAACACAGACCCTAATAGTAGAAATGACGCGCTACAATCTGTGATACATGGCTTTTTATTTCACTCTTATAAAAATTAATGCGACGGTTTACAAAATATTTTAGTGATATTTCTCGATATTGTGATCTAGCCATATTAAAAAAAACTTTTTTTTGACGCTTTTTCTAAATTGTTAAATCACAGTTTCCGATAGAGTTGACTATTCTGAACAAGATTCTGTTAGATTGAAAGTCATTGGTTTGATATTTTTTTAGAAAAATCTGAAGCAAGTGTAAGATTGTGCGTTTTTTTTTTCGTTTTTTCGATGTTCTTTGCGGTATAGCTTTCGAAGTGAGATGTTTAAAGAGTCGGTAAACACATGAGCGTATAGCTGGAAGTCAGATGATTAAATTCATGTATTATAAGTAGTACTTATGCTGAGTTTTAATGGCGAAATATGAGGAAATAGGTGAAATTCTTAATATTTGTCTACTTTAGAGACGAATTAGCGCTCGAAGCTTAATGTTTAGAAAGATATGACCAATGTAAAAAATGATCAGCTCGACGAGCTCTACATTCCTAACATATCAAAAATATTTTTTGACAATTTTTACAAGATCGATTTTTACCCGTTTCAGCCAGCCATAACGTTTTTTTTAACCTATGAGTCCTTAAAAAAATTATATTTTTGGAATCAGGACAACTTGTTGTCTTTACCCTGAAATTTTCAGGCAGTTCTAAGGGGTGTCACATCCCAAAGTCCGTGATTCTTACAGAGAATAACTCTTAAGAAGTAGTTCTTTTAAGATAGTTAAGTTGCCTGGATATGAAATGAAGTCCTATTCATAAGTATACTCTCAGTACATAGAAATACGATGAAAATATAAATTTTCATATTTAATATTGTATCTTAAATCGACAGTATATAATCCATAGTTTTACTCAACTTCATTTTTCGAATGAAAATTTTCTGAAACTATCATAAACGAATAATATACATTTATATTTATACAAGAAAATGATATTGATGATTATCAACAACAGATTTTTAAACGAAAGGAATTATTGAAGAAGAAGAGAACACGATTGTAAAACAAAGGATCACATATATATGGAAAAATAACTTAAAATTAATATCAAAATAAAGAATTTTCTTTGAATAAAAAAATGTTTTCATCTATTTTGATAATTAGTTATACTGCTAAGAGAAGAATGAGTTTGAAACTCTTAAAAATATTCTTAGAGAAAATTGTATGCACATTTTGATTAGTTTTATTGCTATCGATTTATAACCTCTTTTATTATTTAACTATTTTTATTATCACTGCGGATAAAACATTGAGCAAGACATTTTAAATAAGAATACATCCTATTCCGCAATGTTGAACATTCCAGAACCAGTTCCGCTCACGGAATCAATTCCATCTAATTCCCCGGAATTCCGTTTATCCCTTCCAATTCAATTCCGGAATTACACGGAATTCCTACGGATTCCCCCTAATTCCCAACGGTTTCGGAATTCAGTGCACCCACACTGACACCCACATTTACACCCAGACCATACAATTCCGGACCGGAATCGGATCATCACGAAATTGGTAAGACAAGTGATAGAATAGTGATACAAGTTGGAATTCCGGAATCGGACAGTGTTCATATTTGACCTAATGCCGGAATCGACGGAGCTGATTCCGGGGGCGAAACTGGTTCCAAAATGTTCAACATTGCGGAATAGGATGACTGCTCAAAAGACTTGACTTGTGACTGACTCGGCTATCACTAGGACTTGACTTGGCTTGACTGCAAGACTTTAGTTTTTTTGGGGATGACTTGACTTGACTTGACTTGGGTAAGAAAATCCTGACTTGCCCATCTCTGCTATCGACGTTGTGACCATATTCTGATTGATAAGCAGTTTTCCGTCGTTCAGCGGTATCTTTATGAGCATTATTTAATACTTGTGCAGTGATTGAATCATCATGATTAAGTAGAGAACCATATAACTGTTTAGAAAATTGAAAATAATTCAATGGATATCTCATGTGCGTATGCCACATCAAATCGATATCAAATGTTGGAACGATTATTGTATTTTTAGGGTGTGGGTGTGGTTCTTCTTTCAATCTATCCCAACACCCACACCCTTCTCTCGCGATCTCTGTTTCTCTCTCGTTTTTCATGAAAAATCAATTGCCTTTTTTCAAAGCAACGAAAAGTGCTGGAGAATTTAATAGTATGCTGTTTTATTCTAAAAGAGCAGAGAAAGTTAGTTGAGAATAAATTATTGAAAATTAAAATTCTACTTTAAAGAAAAATGTCACACGGTATCATGAGACAGGCGCCCACGTGAGCCGGATCGTCGTCTGCTGTTGGTGAAGAAGCGCCGGTATGTGCTCCCAGCCGACCCTGGCTCTGGCTAGCCGAGGACTGCGCTCAGTGTCGCCGGAGTGTCGATGATTACTGTGCAGCCGCCTATGGCTAACCACATCCCGATGATGGTCTGCGGCTCGTTTCTCAGCGGCACCTTGAGAACCAGTGTCGTCGGCATGCGACCGGGGCTCTGCGGTACCTGTTCGTTGTAAGTGAATGCGGCAAGTACAGGCGAAATGCCACCGTTTACCGAAATACTGAAATACCCACCCGGAAAGTTCCTGCCTATCGCGTAAGGCATCGGCACATTCAGGGTGACGAACGCCGCAGTACCGTCGCCTGCTGGGGCCGTGATGCTAAGGCCGGGAATTGCCACGAACGTGTCGGAGTTTGTCTTATGTGTGCCACTGGTCTGCGCGTATAAAAGCCTGATCGCTCTCCCGTTGTTTGACCTATAATATCAACAAAAGTTTGAGTGAAGCAATATCGAATTTGGGGAAGGAAGACCCCGACCCAATCCAAACCGCCGGCGTCTAGGGTGCTAGCGTTTTGCGGACTTGCGGACTACCCCTCCCCATATTAGAAGCCCCCCCAAAAAAAGTCGATATAAAAGATGAATTAGAACCCCCAGGCTTGTATTAATAGAAAATTTGCTTAGGGTGAGTGTGGGTGTGGATTTATGTCTTCATCTAAACACCCATACCCACCCTCGAGATACACCGATTTAGTTAAGCAAAAGTACTCGCCGAAATATGTCATTGCCAGCTGACTCTTCACATAAGTGGACGATAATGAGCATTACAAGTAATGTACTGATCACCTTCAACATCATACTTCACCAGTTTTGTTGAGTCTAGCAAGTATTAGGCAAATGCTATAATCTGGAATCAGAAGCAAATCATCTTAGTTACAGATGATGAAGAAGCAATGAACAATAGAGTTATATTATATACGAACGTGTCACAAGAATAAGCAACTTTTTTATTTTGATTATTACTCAATATATCTGAGGCATTGTTTTTCTTAACAAAATACTGCCAAAATACTGCCATTTTTTTTTCTTATAAGGCTTACTCATAGAATTGTCAGCGATGTTGTCATTCCTCTTTAGTACAATGATTCTGAACAGAAAAACGTTCTTCATGAGTAGAGTTACCTGTTTTCCACAAAGATATCGAATGAAGATGAAGAAAAATAATTAGAGTCACTCTTATGCAGGAAAAAATAATTAGTTAATTTGAAGCAGGAAGTTTGTTAGCTCTATTATGCATGGAACGAAAGAGACAAGCAGTGTCACTGATGCTATGTGACAGAACGGTGAAAAATATGACCTTCATGGAAATCGAACCCATACCTTCTGCTATTCGGGTGTGGGTGTGGCTGTGGATATATTTGTATTCCTCAGCAAAACCGGACACCCACACCAATCCCTGTCCACGGCCACACCCTGATTCACACTCACATCCACACCCACACATCCACTCCCACGAATAGCACCGCGACCTTTAAAATGAAAAGAAAGTAAAATTTAGCAGATCGCCGCATCCATAGCAAACAAACCTGAGCCAATAACGACTTTGTCGCATAAATCTGGAGTTGCTTGTGTTCCATCACAAACAGTCCATTCATCAGGAACATCGTATGGATCACCAGCCCTAAAAAAACATATCGCTACTTTGTTGAGTGAGTAGACAAATCAACAATTGAAGTACTTACCAAAGTATCACCATGCCTCTCAGAAACTTAATTTCGTTGTTGCCTGCATTAGACATCGCTAATGCCTGTAATAATGCTCTGTTGAAGTGATAAATGCATTTCAAGAAAAAATGGTGTCACTTACTGTTACAGTCAACAATACAAAAGGGGTAATCAGCTAGAAAGTTAAATTATTTGCATATAATCTCAATCTAAACCAACATCAAAGTTCTTATTTGAGGAACTTACTCTTATCATAATTATGAAAGTTTTCGTAATGCAAATAACTGATTCTTTTATTCAACAGGTGAAATATCGCAAGGACGAATTGTAACAATCCAACCAAACTTGTAATGTGTTGCGTGCTCTTAATTGAAATGAGTGTGATGTACTCTTCTAGCTATTATTCATCCTAACTTCTCAGGACTTTGATCTCCTCCTCTCTTATTTACATTTTAGATGCGCACTATCACTTTACCCTTCACTAGCGAGGGGTGTCCAAAAACTGAGGATTAGGAATTCCTCATCAGTTCCCCTACAATTCTTTGCATATTAAAAGTAAAAATATGGAATATTCACGATAATTTTTGTTTTTACACTCATTTTCACTTCCAAAATTGTGAGAATCAATGATTTCATGCAAAAATGATTTTTAAAACAGCAATATTGTGACTTTCGTGGATGGTGGAGCTGTGAGGGAACCTATAGTTGATTCCCATTTCCTCTAGGAATTATCACAGCGACACTGACAGCTTATCGGCACATTAGGAATTCCTATTTCTCAGTTCTTGGACCAGAGGTGTGCGATCCACGGGTTGGACCCCGCGGGGTCGGCGGGGCGAGCGAAATAAAAATAAAAGGCACAGGTTTCGGGTGGATCAAGATTTTTCACGGGGCACGATGAAGGGTAGTAAAAAATTATTGAGAGGTCGTTAGTCTAGGTGTGTAGTACGAAATACATATTGATTGGCTCTTTATTTTCATCTAATGATCTACAAGCTTGCCTATTACGTATTTCTTTTTTTTCTTTTCGTTTGGTAAAGACTCTGAGCCAACAAAGCAGTGAGAAAAAAGTTAAACAACAGCAAGTGTTACATGGTTGTTCTGCAAGTTTTTGAACGGGTCTAGATATAGCATTGATATCAGTAGATAGAGAAAAACATGCTGTATTGAACTATGTTTTTGGATTTTCCTGAAAAACTGACAAGTGAAAAATAGAGGACGCCATCGCACAGTGACAACATATGAATATTTTTGCTGCAGTAAAATATGCTTTTCAAATACTACTAGATCAATTCTCTCATATTTCTGTTTTACCAGATTATTTTAAATATAAACTCACCTAACTACCACCTTTTTCAATCCAGCAAGAGACCACGTAGTAACTTAAGAATATCTTCGCGCAATAATAACAGTAACTTATTTACATCAAAACTGTAGGAAATGACAAAAGAGCAATTTATCTGATAAAAATATTTAGTTACACAAATATTATATATAAACACTACGTAAAACAGGTTGTGGGTGCCATTAGAGGGATGGAGTAAATGGACACCACCTCTACCCCATACTTTTCTCTCAGATTTTTTGTTAAAAAATCTAATTAATTATATACAATAAATAATTTAAAATGAACAATTTGTTAAATATAAAATTTCTTCGGGTTATACGGAAGGGGCGGGCCCCGTCATCAAATCGATGGGCGGGCGGGGCGATGTGGCACTTCTGGGTGCACGGGGCGGGGGAGCTTACACAATTTAACTAGGCGGGGGTCGGCGGGACGGATGTTGGAAATTTGCGGGACACGAAAATTCCCTGCCACGAACACCTCTGCTTTGGACACTGCTGACACGAATAATATTTTTCTTTGAAATCTTCTAACATATTCCATACATATATATATCCATACAACGGCAAACTACTGGAATAATTCGATTAGTATTTTTTTCTCTACTACTTCCTTACTGAATTCATTTTAGGGTCGAATGAAACTACGCTTTGAATAAGCATATATTTTATATTTTCCTATTTTACATTTTAAACTGGTCATAATTACTGATACTTATTACGGGTCTACTATCGTTTTCTTTCTACGAGAACAAACGCAAATACATATATTATTATGTGATCTCATAAGTATGAGTGTGGACTGTTTTGTTGTGCAGAATCTACCAAAACACCCATGCACAGCCTTTGTACACCCGGATTCTGTGTTAACGTGATAAATTCAAACAAGAAAATTCTTTCTCATTCGATCGAAGTGAATATCAATACTAGGGGTGGTCATTTAGTGTTACTTTAGAAAATAAATAATAATTCTTTTTTTCGATCCTTTATTTTTAGAAAATAAAGCTAAATGAATCATTTATCTTTATTAAATAAAGGAAAAATAAAGGAATAAATGATTTTTTTATTACAAATAATGAAGTAGAAAAAATTCTAAGATTACCGGATGCGTTCTCAAGGGGTTTTTTGTCCATTAAAATGCTTTTTTCATTAGAAATATGGTAAATAAGATAAGACATAATATTAAAAACAAGAAACATGAAAGTTTAGTTCTTATACATAACCATGAAGCTTTATTTTCATGTCGATATTTTTTCTTGTTTTCTATGCAGTTGATTCACAAAACAGAAATAATTCACATACACACACACATAAAAAACGAGCACTTAACATGTATGCGTACAGATGTGAAGAATAGTTTCATTTGTCAAGATATGTCCTAAGTTTTCTTTTCTTGTACTTGTTGTGCGGATTTAAGTTTTCTAAACGTTTACAAGAAAGATTAATTTAATATGAAAACACTGAAAAATGTTGTTTCTCATTGCATGCCTGTTTTGTTTTACAATAAAATACGTTCATTTCTTTAACAGCGTAAGATATCGCATTGTTGTTGGTGAAAGAGAACAACGTTGTTTACGCTGGATATATCCAGCTACAGAAAAAAACAGATTCTGATGCAACTGATGTCGCTGGAATGATGCTATAACGACGGACAAGTGACGATAAAATCGGCAATAATTTTTGTCTTTCATTCCAGAACGTTTCGAAATCTATTGATTCTTTATATGATGACATATATAAACTAAATTCTTCTTTTATTGACAATGTGTTTGGTTTTTGTATTGGTGGTGATGTAGTTGCAGTTGTTGTCGATGTACGGCGACATAAATTTTTGAATTTCTCTATATTCGATAATGAAGAATGTCTTGTTATTGAGATGGACGAAGAAGATGATGATTTGAGAGTTTGATGTGATGTTGTACTTCTGGTAGTTGGTTGGTTTTGTATGCCTTGATAAGCCCGAGCTTCAATCATAATCAACGCTTCAGCTTGACTAATTTCATCAAAGGACAAATCACTTAAGGTAAACGGGTCTAAATAGGCAGCAATCTAAAGTAAGAAAGACTCTTAAGAAAGTTCTGTTACAATTTATAAGTAAGATTTGAGTGTTAGAAAAAGGAAAAAAATTGTATTTACGTACATAGACAATGGTCAAGAGCCTTAATCGATGTTCTTTTATAGACATGCCTCTTCTCTCTAACAGAAGAAACATCATACAGACGAATAGTTCTTGATTTACTAATATGCCATATAATAATAACAATCCCAATAAAGATCTACAAGATAACGTTTTTTCAGTCTCGACTCCAGTTTCACTCAAAACATTTCATTGGTATCCATCTAATCCCTGTTAAGCGAATTTTTATCGTTTCTGGTCAAATGCTTTTAAACAACAGAATCTTTTTAAGAATTTGCAATTCAAATTTTGAATCATCGATTTATCCACTAGTAATTGTATAATTACTCTTTTATATTTAAGCATCAGGAATCAAAGTATGGAAGATCAACTCTTTTGTTTTATTTAAAGCTTTGCCTTATTGCAAATCATATGACGTGAACAATTTTCTGAAAGCTCACAGTTTTTAACTAATACACAAAATACATCAGCTATACCGAAAGGAAATAGAATTGTACAGTTTTAGGTTTAGGCACAATTATGAAATCATTTTTTTTGTAAAATTAAGCTTTCTAATTTTACAATTCATGTTCGTAATCGAAATAGTTATGCAGCTTTTTTTGGCACAAATAAATGTCTAAAAACAACAATAGAGAATTCGTGCTGACAATAGACCAAAATGGCAAAAACATGCAGAAGAAAATGAATACCTATAGTATCAATCAAGTGAATCAATTTATTTTGTTCTAGTTTGCCTATTTAAGAATCCATATAGGTTATCAAATAATGCCAGTTCTTAAAAATCATAATCAGGATATAAATTAATGAGTTCAATCAAAATTATAGATACAAATAAGGAATTCTAACATGCTTAGTTGCAACAATTTCGTTGAATGGACATCGTTCAATGATGAAAAAAAAGTAATCATAAGTCATTAAATATCCTCATCTATTTTTTTATAGCCCATCTGAAGCCCAATATTACTTTTTAGTAAACTCAAAACATGAAGTAAACATTTTGCTTCGTCTTCTTCGACTTACCAGTTTACCAGTTTTTTGTTTAGGTGTTAATTTTGTTTCAAAAAATGAAAAATAAATTTGTTTAGTAATAACCGTTTTAATGGATTTTCCAATGGTGTATCAGCCCAGGAGAGTCATTCCGAGACTAGGATCCTATCGGATTCCGACAAGGGTCAGACCGTGAATATACCAAATATCCATGGATTCCAATAAAACCAACGAAATCCTATAGGATTCCGGGATCAGGACCTACAGTCGGATCCTTGGTGTAGGAATTCCATAGGATCCAGTGTTGGAAATTAACGGAATCCGACATGAACGTATGACCCTAGTTTTCTTATGAGAAAATATTCATATTCACCCCTAATTAAGAAAAATTTTTTTCCGTCGGAACCGACAGTCAATCCGTAACCCGGAACCCCATCGGATTCTGTTGGGTGATAGGATCCCATCAGATCCGATAGGATTCATTCACCTGGGATTTTCTAAAAAAAAGTTGCTTCCCGATAAACCCTTAGCAGGTTTCTGAGCTCAGCAAAACGAAAACCCAGCACGAAACCTTAAATAAATCAGTAGCCAATACAGAATACAGATTCCGCCATCATGTCTTGCGTTATAAAATCGTGAACACGACACATATCGCTATCTCCATAATATTCATATGTCACCTAGCCATTCGACGAGATCCACTTGAATAATCTAAGACGAAAGAAAAATTGATGTAAATTTTTGAGTCTCGAGTATAACTCACCAATTAGATGAAATCCATTTGAAGAATCTAAAATAGAAAAGGAAATTTTAATGTTAGGCTTTTATTCGGAGGAAAACCACTTAAAAAATCTAAAACAAAAGGAAAAATAGTCATAAGTTTTTAATTCTCGAATATAACTTGCCAATTGGGTGCAATTCATTTGAAGAGGCTTTTCTTCAATGTATCTTACTTGTTGAATGAAATCCACTTGAAGAATCCAAAAGAGAATCACAATTAATATTAGCTTCTCTCATTTCATCCCTTGATTTTAAGGACAAATCAGTCATATTGGAAACCTATGGATTTTCGAGCCCTTAGAAACAAACAACTTACTCTCGTAAACTCTTCAAGTGTTGATAAACATTCTCGAAAACTTCTAAAGATTTACAAAACGGTTTCCGAGAGAGCTCCAGTTTTCTACGAAACGATTATTTTTAAACAGTAATTCCTTATTTCCGTCCTTACCTCTTATTCATTTAGGTAAACCGCCATTTCTAGCTTTAAGCCGAAATTCTATATTTAGCCTCTTAACTGTATACTCAGTGACTTCTATTCACCGTGATCCGTCATTTCTATCCTTCGTCTCTGAGCTCGACATCGAACTCCGTCTTTCTATATCCACTCGTATAAAAGTGTGTATAAATTCTTATAACTATGTCTAAGCTATTATATGCTTATGTAACACTTTTTTCTACGACAATCCTTTCAAAACTGTAATCACCACATATATCTATATCAAAGTTCTTATAGCTCTGTCTAAATTCTGAGCTGTATCTACAGTGGGCACGTGGACTTAGAATGAATATAAAAGAAACTGTTAAGAGTTTTGTATTTGACTATGAAGAGATAATCTAATGCTCTTGTATTTGTGTTAAAACAGTAACTCAATACTTCAGCATTCGTGTTAGTTTAGCATTAGTATAATACAAACATTTATCTTTTCAATATTAGCGATTGGTAGATATATGTATTCAGTTGTAGTCTGAAAACAGAACAGGATTGTTTTGTTAAGGCGACATCGATCATCAAATCTCTTATAAGAATTATCTGAACACTTTATACTTATGTAAGACTTAAAACTTATATCTATTTGAGACACATGTATACATGTGGAATCATCTATATCCATCGTTAACTTCATATATATTCTTAAGCTCTCAATAATATTCTTAAGCTCTCAATATCTATTCAGATCCGCTTCAATTTATGTGCATCTCTTATAACTGTGTCTATCCTCCGATGTCTTTTTGTGTGCTTGTGTATCTTGCGATTGTCTAAGTTAAATCCGAAATGAGATGTACCATTTTGTTCTAAACTAATAAGATCTCCAGCTAGATAAAATGACAAACAACTAATCGTTTTATTATATTAAAGAGTCTGTGGTTTGAATAATCAACGATTTAAAATATTAGGGCCTTGAAAGCTGGAATAAAACTAAGGGATGTAGTAATGCATAAAACTGGAGCATAAAATAATGTTGGAGGCATAGGGGTAGTATCTTCTACAAGGTAAATGTTTAAGTTCATTGCCATATTAGCGAAGGCATTCTGTGTTTTTTCTCGAAAGGTGTCGGCACGAAAATGTGTGAGCTCAAAAATACTTTTATACAATATTGAAACTGGATTACTAGTGACTGATAAATACGTAAACGAATGAGATAATCGAGGCTGGACAATTTTCTGATGAGTCAGGATCTGTCGACAGCATAAATGTACAGGAAAAAAAAGTATCATACGAAACCCTTTCGCCTACCAAAAATAAAAAGAGTTTTTTTACGGAACCCCTTTGATTACTAAACCTTAAAATGGTTTCGTAGACTGCTGCGATATCTAATAGTATACAGTGAAGATCCACGAAGCCTGAAAGGATTCGTGTGACACCATTTTTTTTCAGTGTTGTATTTCTTACATCTATATACAATGCAGCAACAACCTTTTTAGACACTTATCATAATAAAACAATATGTATTAGTTAATATTTTGTGGAACTCACATATATTTTCGAAGAAAATTGTGAGTGTAAGTTGAATTGTTAGGTTTTTGCGGCTCTCCTGTATCCCACCCCCCCTCCATTACAGACATAAAACATAAAAAAGCTAACACTTCGGTGCACTAATTAGGTAAAAATGTTATACAGATGGATTGCCTATGTTAACCACTACTCACATCAGTAATAAAAATCTAGTTTCGCTAATTAGAAATCATAATAATTAGGATTTAATCTCTAATTAATCATCAAAATCTGTCTTTTTTTATTAGCCCATAGTTACGACAGTATTATATCTTTTTATTATTACAGACGTTAGCAACGAGTGTATGCTAACGCTACAGAAGCTAGCAACTAGTTTATGCTATTATTACACTCGTTACTTCTATCACCTACAATAAACAGATGAAAATTTTAATCTTTTTTTTAAGAACAAAATAAAATCAATGCTCTAATATCACGAACGGAGATTTTACTTGCATNATGCTATTATTACACTCGTTACTTCTATCACCTACAATAAACAGATGAAAATTTTAATCTTTTTTTTTCACACAAATACCTTAATCTAGAGCTTAAATCTACTTTAGTGTATTTACAATTCGTAACTTTTCCATCCACTTGGAAGTTTTTATCAAATTTTTGTTTATGAAAAAATGCATCAATTTCTCACCTGATAATACGAAAAAATATAAATTTCTCAATAATATTGATAGCTATATCCTAAATACTGTTTAAACTATTATCATTCACAATATTTTTCAATGAAACCACTAAACACTTCAGCATACTGACATATTTTAAACAAAACGTTTTTCATACGTTCTCTCTAGTAATATTCCCTATTGATAGATGCAATAAACTTCAAATGTTAAAAAGGTTTTATTATCTCATTTTTGAACAAAATATGATCTCACGACACTGAAAAAATAAAACTTCTGTTTGATCAGTATCTAACTGACCGAAATATGTGAGTTTCACATTTTAGCCCCAACGGGACTGCGCTGACAAGCTTTTTGATACAACTATGCCAATTTTCACAACTTCGACATCAGTTACTCATGAAACTATTAACTATTTGTTATGTTATTACCATACATATTGAACGGTGTTCTGCCAAATAATGATTGACATACATGTAAATGATGCCTGTGACTCGAAAACCCATAGTCACTAATCGAGTACTTTACTTCTATATAGCTCTTCCTTTAATCTTTTTGGCTGGTTCCCACAGTATCTGGTGGCTGGAACAATCGACTCGGGCCTGATTTCGCACACATCCACTGTCACCCCAAGATTCAGTCATACACAAGTAGATAAAGGTATACAACAACTAATTTGACACGGACTACAAACTCGAAAGAAAATGCAAGTAAAATCTCCGTTCGTGATATTAGAGCATTGATTTTATTTTGTTCTTAAAAAAAAGACAAATATTTCATGAACGTCAAGCCCATAGTTCAAAACAGATCTTCCACTGCCACGCTGTGATCTGCTGAAAACGTACTCATATTCATCCGAAAAGCTTAGGATAATTCTGCCATGCTAGGGCATTCTTGACATTTTCCCGATGACTGTAGATCTTCGCGTTTTTCAATGCATACAATAGTAACAAAGTATTCGAATATTATTAACATATCGTTGCAGAGCTCATGAAGATATCGGTTCATTCTTTTGCCTGATGAATAGTATGACCAAGCGGCACATATTGGAATCAGTGCTGCACCGGCAGCGATACCTGTAATCGATAATGCACGAACAGCGCCGGATGTGGCTACACCTGCTGTACGAAGAGCGTCATCAGATATTTTTCCAAGTGCTCCGAGAGTGATAGCAGTAGTATTGAGGCACGGTTCAATTTTTCTTCCAATTGAGCTTATCATGTTGTTCCTATTCATCTCTTTTGCCTGAATATACTTCCTTGCTTCTATTCCTATACGCTGTGACGATTCTTCCGTGGTACTTTTCGCAAGATATGCAAAACAGCCAGATTGTAGTTTGCTTTCGGACACCATCAGTGGATACTTACTCAAATATTCTTGGAGTGAGTCTTTTTTTCTCTTGAAACAGTTTGTTATCCACATGTTGTCATGGATGCCAAACACCTGACGAATTTTTTCCTGTCCAAAATAAACTGGCACTTCGTCAGCGAAAGGAATGATACTGGACAAAGTGGCTAGGACTTGATACTTTAGTTTAGAAACAACGTATGCGCGTCGAAAACATGTGTTTATTGTATTTATTACAGCAAGAACGGCGAGGTCACGTATGCGTGCGACTCGAGTATTTTTAGTAGCCATAAGGATGATCGTTTTCTTTAACTCGTCTATGTCAAACTTGGCGAAATCCTCCGTTGCCAGAACAGTATCACAAGCAGCCGCCGTTAGATACACTGTGCCAGAGAGAGATTTTCGCGTTTTTGTGAACCCAACTTGTTTCCTTAAGTCTCTTATAATACGATCCGTAAGATACCTTGGATTCAGTTTGGGAGTGTAGTCTTGTTTCTTTCTTTCCTTGAAGAGATCTAAAAAGAGTCGATCTACTTTGTTTCGAACAAGAAGACAGTCTCGCTGCAACTCTTCTTTTATATATTTATGCCAGCCGCCATGCAAGTCATCGTCAAATGAATCATGAAATACAAGCAAGTACAAATCACAGTCCGCTTTTTTGATCAATTCCTTGTAATTTCCTATGAATACTGCGTTATTGGTATCAATTGCACCTTCGAGATCTATAAACGTGATTGGAATAGTCTTATGGGGACACTCATTTATAAATGTGTCGATTTGCAAATATCCGAATGTACTTCTTCCACTAGCAACTGTTGATACCGATTGGTCTACGCATTCGCTGAGTTTTCCTATTAAAGTACTTTTACCCACACATCCATCACCAATAACTCCAACCTTGAATGGAATCGAACGGATATAGTTGCGATTATAAAATATTTGTGCTAGATCTAGTTCTACAGCTTTGAAAAGTTCAATAACTTTAGGTTTGAATTGCTCGTCACTACTGTGGCTATTCTGCCATATCTCATTTAAAGAAATAACTTTGGAGAAATTAGCTTTTATATCTAGCCGTTCGGTTTTCACACGCAAATTTTCGAGCAGAAGAATAAACTTGGAACAAGGTATATGTTTAAGTCTGTCGTCTGCTAAATAGTCACCGTACTGGTCAATGCATCTTTCGCAAATAGCTTTCAACATCTCTTTAGCGTTACAAATGGAACTGTTAAACGTTGTTATGTTTTGTGGTTGATCTTCTAGGAATAAATCGAGACTCGCAAGATATGGTTCAATGGTTTTTTTCCGAAACATGATATCTGCAAGAATTTTGTCGATGTTAGCAACGTTCTGCTGAGGTAATAGTTTGCACAAATCGTTCATATGGTATATATCTTGCGTCTGCTGTTGCTGGCTATCGGCTATTTTTATTGATATACAACGAGTATTCGTTTCGGTCAATTTTATTTCCTTACTCAATGCTTCACAGAGCTTATCAAAGTGTTTCAATCTATCTTGGTATGCTGCCAAACATTCATCAATGATAGTAGCGTGTTCATCCATACACGACCCGATATTTTCTAATTCTATGATCAGCTTGTCTAGTTCAATAATCATGTTAGCTACATCCTGAATGAGTGGATCCTTTGAGTCTGAATTCTGTAAGTTGTTGTTTGAAGGATCCGTCGAGTCAGAACTCTTCCGCTTTTTCTCGAAAGTGTTAATTCTTGACTGAAGATGGTTACGTCGCAAACGAATGTCATTCACAATGTCAGAATACGAATCCAGTTCCAACTTTGATTTGAAAGCAAGAAAATTCTCTGTCCCATACAGCTTGCCGAAATGTTTCCATATTAAATGTTCTTCAATGAGCTCGTTGCGGCGTGGAATCGTACTTCCCTTGCAAACCATACATATAAATGGGTATTTGTTATCTATTCCTCGAATCGCTTGTACACAATCGCCACAGTACTGTTCATCACATTTTACTTGAGGGCATTCCAATGGCAGCTGCTTATCAAGTATACCGAACGGATTTAGACACATGGCACAGACTGGATGGACCTAGTAGAAGCGAGATTTATTTTTCATCTATTCAAAATAAAAGACACAAATACGCACGCATTTGATATAAATTGTGCCATAATGGCCTTCTTCGAGTAGTTTGGGTACACCAGTTAGTAGCCGTTCCTTATCATTATCGTCGCGCTGTGTTAAAATAACATTGTCCTTATTGATGTCCACATCCTTGAAAAGTTGAAAAACATCTTCTAGTAGGTCGGTCCATAATTCGTATTTTTTTCGATCCAATGACTTCTCCTGTCCGAGAAAAAATACGCGAAAAGAATACACACATGCTTGCATATACTTATTAGGTATATAGGATCTAGCGAAATGCGATTCCATTACGGTTAATAATTGGGCACCAATTTATATTGACTTTGTCTGATTCCAACGCGATCAACTTCAACAATAAAGTGTCAGCTATTTATAGATCTCAAGCCACGTAGGCACTAGTATCTTCTCCAACATAAATGGGAAAAAAGGTTGACTGTGTGTTATTATTGTGTCACCATCGTCGCACAAAAGCATTTTAATCAATTTGTGAGGTCACATTTAACTAGTTGGTATCCTTCAAGACTGATAAGACGAGTAAATAACTAATTTAAATCGCGCAATCTATGCACACTCTCACCGGTCTCATGATGAAAAAAGAAAAGGTAACAATTTTTTATTTTTTCTATTTTATTTGTGTTGTCCCCACAAGACTAAACCATTTTATTTTTATGAGTTTTACTCATATTAGACTAGAGACGGAAGATTCCGAAAAAATGTAATTGAGAATCTAGAATCGCAACCGGATACTTGAAATACTACAGGAAAGAGTCGAAGCATATTTTCCGGCAACAAGAACACTGATGAAGGCTTACATAACTAAAGTTGGAAGAGTCCATCTGCCGTTGCGGTGTTGGCGTGTTAAACGCTGAAATAAAGATAGATACAAAACAATATATAAAATGTCGTTCTTGCTTAAATGACTCATCAGGTTTCTTCCGAATCTAATACTACATATAACATTAATCAATTCAAAAACAGATCGATTTATCTTCTAATGGTAAGACAAGTTGAATCTGCCAGTCTCAACCATTGGTTTTCAGCAATTCACCTACTCTCTAAGAAAAATAGATATTCTACTGAACCATTTTAAGTTTGTCAGACTCTACAAAACCAAAAATAGTTCTCCGTGCACACGGACCGAACCATTGCTCATCTTAAGATCCGTCTGACCAAAAAATGCTTGGTATCAAAAAGACAAAGCCATACAGGTTCGCGACAAATCCTCTATCGGTACATGCAAAACCTTTAAAGCTTTGTTTCAAATCTGAATTGTTTCACTTTTTCGATACCGAGCCTTTTTTTGATCGCACGGATATCTCAAGATGGTTTCGTAGCAAACGTTCGACCCGCATACTCAAGGGAAGAACTATTTTAGGGTTCGCAGATTCTTCAAAACCTAAAAGTGATCAGTAGAATGCCTATTTTTTTTAAAGTGTACTCACAAATTCCAATAACGTAAAAATGTGCTCTTCCCGATACGTACTAAAAGAATAAGATCTAGATGCAGAAATTCACTCATCAATTTCTGTCTGTCTCCCTGTAACACTTGGTAAAAGTGATCATAAATATATTCCAAAATATTACAGATACGATTATCCGAGTGATTGAGTACAGTCACCAGATACGGACCGTATACGGTCGTGAACAAACCGTTTATGACCGTATATGACCGTATTCAACTGTATTTGTACTATTTACGTACGTTTTTCGTTGTAAACCAGCCCGGTGTTTAACGCCCGTGTTTTAACCGTGATTTTTCCATATGTACACTCTAAAAAAAGGCTTAATACCGAGCTTCAGTGGTTCAGTACATTTGATCTAAACGGTTTTAGATTCGGTAAAGTGAAAATCGTTCGAAGTCATTATGCAAAACTTGTATAGGTTCAGAAGAAAAAGTAAGGTTTCGCAATTTTTCAACCGAACTTTCTGTTAGTTCTTGAGGGTGTGGGTGTGAGTGTCTGAACAGAAAGACTCACACTTTCACGTCAACATCCACTCACACCCATATCTACTAGGCACTAGTGGCGGCGCCACGGGGAGGCTACAAGGGACTGAGCCTCCCCAGAATTTTTCTAAGGTTTCAAGAAATTCATAATCTTTTCGGCGTGTGATGTCGCAACATATCGCTTCATGCATCCAAGTGCATTAAAAAATGAATTTGCTGTTATCAAATCCATGCTTCAATCTAAAACAATCAATGAAATGATTGAATTCCTAAATGAATTATTTCCATTTTCAAACGCATTTCCACAAACATTAGAAATGATTAAAGATGCCATAACAATGCCAATTTCTCAAGCTACTTGTGAAAGATCTTTTTCGCAGATGAAGATAATCAAAAACTATCTACGAAATTCAATGACTGATACACGTTTAAGTGACTTGACAATACTAGCAGTTGAACGTGATTTTGATATAAATTATGAACGAGTAATAGATAAATTTTCAAGTAGCCACAAGAACTGCAGAATTTTATTGCGTTAAGTGTTATTTTTAGATTTTATAAATAAAAGTAGCTGACTTATCTACAAACAAGAGCGGATTTTTTATACACTCATATACGAGCTAAGTAACATTGTCAATGGAAGAAAATCTTCGAACAAATGTCCACTATACCTTTTGACACTTTGAGAGTTAAGGAGCTGAGCCTCTCCAGACGGAAATTCCTGGCGCTGCCTCTACTATCAACACCCATACCCTCTAGCGACATCTATTATTGTATTCTATTAATAAGCCAGAAATCCTTTAGCAGATTTCTTAATTAGTCGTTTTATATGCGGATTAATTAGAATCTTCTTCTCTGGTGCGTTCGTATATAGCAAGTATAGCTCAGAAACAAATGCACGATTCTACGTTCCCATGTCGCACATTTTTTGTCGCTACCAGAGGCATGCCGGTACTCATAATGGCCGGCGGTAGCGCTTGTAAGCTCCGGTCCCAGTTAAAAAGGCTTCCAGAAACCATTTTTTGTCAAATCCCGATTTATTTCGGAAAAAGAATTGGAATTAATCGAAAATAAAACTATTTTAGAATACCCAGGTCGAACATTCCAGCCACCGGATCCCGTAGGATACTTCAGGGAATATGCGGGAAAGTCACCATATCCTGCAGGAAAACACGGGAAATCGCTGGAACATGGAAGCAGTATTCCGGTCAAAAATACGGCCGGACTTTTCCGGAGAATTCCTGCGAAGTTCCGGTGCTTTCCGACAGGAATTGATCGGAAATCGCCGGGAAAAATGCGAAAATTTTCCAACCAGAATACTGCTTCCACAAAATCAACGGAACTACCCAGAACCGGCCGTTTCCAGGCCGGACTGTTCGACCTGGGTATATTTTTCGAAATGTATGCTTCTTCTAAAATACTGAACAATCTCAATCACGTAGCTATATTTTATCAGTCTTCAAAAAAATTATAGATTCTATTAAAATTGTATAGAATGTGATATAGAGTGGCATTTCTCATACATTTCATCGATCATCAATTTCGATCATTTTAGAAACATGTTTATAAGATTTCAAAACAACATTTATTATCGCATTTTGAAAACATCCTTTGATTAAATTTGTGCAATCTTATTTTGATTACTATGAAAAGAAATTTGCATTACTGGTCATTTCTCTTATCTGTGCATTCGTTAATTGAAATGACCGCCGACTGATTACATAACGCAAACGGGCAGTATTTATAAACGCACACATCCACCCCCTATATATATGACAATTTACATTGTTCATTTTAAAACAAACATCATATTCAACTTTTTTCCTCCATTGACAAGCAATAACACTTCATTATGTCTTCTCCAACAATTATTGTAAACCATTATCATGTACATGTCTTTTCATTCAAAAAGGTATATAGAAAGCAATATATCTATTCGTACTGTATGATTGAATTCAGTGATGAATATCAATAAAGTAGCTTAGCTAAACAAAGACGCGAGTGATTAATATATCACAAGGAAATTTCCAGCACCAAGGAAATATAGCGAACGATAAAAGTAAAATTGCATTTTTGAGAGTCATGGCTTTTACCAATTTTAGCTGCGTAATGACAACAGCGGTCAATAATATAGGAAAATTACAAAAATGTACCTTTTTGAACTTTAAATGCAACAAAATGTAATTATATGTTTATATAACATATGAAAATAACTTAACCGTTTTTATTATAATACAAATTGGGAGTTATTGAAGCTATAATATTTAATCATTATTATACTAAAAGTTAAAATATTTCTATTTCCAGCAATTTCTCATGGCGTTTTTTGACATTTAAGAAATGTTGTGAGTTGACTGATACCTTCTGTTCAGCGTCACTATACAGCTTGATATTCGGGAACAAATGTTTTCTTCAAGTCCACCATAACATTGAATAGACCGACGACAACCAAAAAACTAGAATCTGAGTGATTTTTAACATTGTAACAACCCGCACTCCAACCCACGCATCAAAAGCTACCCTTTTCTCAAAAGTTTGAAAGGTATCTTAGAAGATCTGGATCTTCTCTAATCCGACCATGAAAAAGTTTCAAAAACTGTTCTTGTTGATCTTTTCTGTTTTTATTCATGAGAAGGGATAGCTAAAAGGAGCATCAAACACCATGTTCCTAAAATAGAGTTGAAAGATAAGTTCAAATTCTAAACTACAGCTGTTAGATGAAGTCTTTTTTCCATTCGAACTGATACAGTCTTAGACTCGAATTTCGCAACAATTAGTGTTTGAACGAAGACATTAAAATGGTTAAGTATATTGATAAGAATTTGTAAATAAGAATCTGGTTAGAAATACTATCAAAAGTCGACATAATTGTTTATAAGTATCACTTTAATTCTACGTCGCATCTTCTTGTGAATGGTTCTGCTGAGTATGAATAAGAACTCGATTCGCTGAGAAGTATGCCACATGCTAGTCGAACAATCTATTTTTTAGACAGATTGCTGTCGATATTTTCCCACACTTAAAACATGTATCGTATGCTTTGAGTACCGGTGTGCGTGCGAAGCTCTATATTTTCAAGAAAATGAATAGATTTTTAGGCGCCTCCGTAGATAATAAAAGGTTATCGGAATACGAAACTTGAGACGGTTACAAAAATGTAATCGGATAGATACAGCTTCGGTAACACTCCAAAAATAGACCATCGATACATGAAGAGTCACATGCGAACATGCATTATTTATAACTATATAATTTCATAAGTCGGCGTTTAATAGAGTGCATTTTGAAGAAACAACGACATGAACTGTTAAAAAATTGAAAATTTTTTCGAATACCTTACTTGAAAATTCGCATTATACGACACCTTTAGAGAGTTTATACGCTCGGACATATTAGAAGGCTCCGAATCTTCTAACATGGAAGGGTTACAAATATTTATTTAACCGAATGAAGATTCTTTATACTCACAAATAAAATAAAAAAGAAACACTTCATTATCACAAATATGATACTCAAGATTATACTGTTCAATATAAATGACAGCATTAAAAATAAGTCGTTTTTTGTTGATTATAGCAGTTTTTGTAAACTCGTCGATTCCGTATGCGTTTTTTTTCAAATAGGATACAGCATATATCACACATATTGATAGTTGCATATAAGCGAAAAAGAGACTATTAAGCAAAAACTCGAACCTTATTCATGTATTTACTGACATTCTTTAATTAGAACATTCAGAGATCATCACCTTCATCTATAGTCATTCTTACTATGCAGCACTTTGATTGGATAAGACAGAATATAGAGGGAACACATAAAGTAAGTAAGCGGTAACAACTGATGGGTATATATGTAATACAGTATAAAATAGATTCGAAAGTATACATAATCATCGTTCATTCTAGCTCTAGTCGTTCTTTCTCTATGATAAACTTTTATTCTTTCCGACATACTTAACCGCATTGTTAAACTTATATTTTAGACTAAAATGCCTCGGAACGTCTTCCTTTTATGCTGTACTGGTAAAAAAATTCTATTAAAGCCGGCAACAACAAGAATGCGAAATCGAAGAAAATAAAGGTTAGTGTAAAGAAAACACCTATAACATGAAAATTTTTACTGATTTGCTCTAGAGCGTCGATATACGCTCATACGATAGTCATCTTCGACATCGTATTGGATCGGAGTCATCGCAAAACGTTATGAAAAAAAAAGTTCGGTTTCATGAATCGCCGATTGAAATACACTCGTATTCATCTTGTCCTGCGCGTCATAGTCGACCCAAGATCGAATATAATATTCATTCGAGCGAACGTAAATCAATTAGTCATGGTCCATCATCAATAATGGAAAACGAATAATATTATTCATCTGATAAAGACCCAGGCTCATCAAAACGGACTCGTTTACGGTCTGTTTATCGACGGCAAACGATGTCAAAATGGTATATTTACGGCAGTAAATAGGCCGCATTTGCCCGTAATACCTGGCATAGTAGTACGGCACCGTAAACGGGACTGAATTTTGATGGTTTACGGCTGTTTGTGCTCCGTACTCTCATGGTCATACGGCCCGTATTACTGCGCCAGATATTACGGCAAACTTTCATCCGGAAAATAGTCGTAAAGTAACCGTAAACGGTCGTATACGGACCGTACTGTTCGACGTGGGGATATATAATAAACTTTATTAATGATTTACTAGCTGTAATAAAATAAATGTATTAGCTTTTTTCTTTTTGTTATGAATTTTTGTTCCATATGATAATATTAACTTTTGATGAAGAAGATCAGTTAATCTAAATCAAATTCTTAAAAAATTGAAGCAAAACAATACTTATTTTTCATTGCAAACACCTGACAATCGAAATTAAAAAAACTAAAGAGAACAATTATTAGTGTTCATTGATTAGATCAGAACACCTAAATAAAGAATTATTTTTCTAAATAGAACAACACTCACGTTCACTATGACGATAAGATGATCTAAGAAATATTAAAAATATCTTTTTTAATAAAGCAAATACTGAGGGTGTGGGTGTGGGCGATGCGGATGCAATGGAGGAGTGCTCAAATGTGGGTGCAAGTGAAGGGTATATATATATTAATATGTTGCATATATCGGAAAGTTAAACTAAAACTAAATCTAGGAATAGTTCTCCATTTATATTTGAACTCGAATAGGACAGTTACTCATAGTGTTGGTGTGCATTAAAACAAGATGTACATTCACATCCATAACCATGTATATTCTAGCAATTGTATTTTTCACATGTGTCAATGCTCATGTGAAAAATGGATGTGGAAGTAGATCGAGTTTTCTCTCACCAATATTTTCATCAATCAATCAATTAAATCAAGTATTTTTTCATATAAATTAACTACAGAAATATTTATTTTATTTTATTCCGTTTAGATAAATAGTAAATCATGCCTTAGGCGGCGGAGCCATTAGGCGTGGGTAGGCTCAAACTATAATAGATAAAATCTTGAATAGGCACTATTAAATGTAAATGTATCCTATTATCGTTTAATTTTTGTTTTTGTGACAAATGACACATTGGTGCAAGATCAGTCGATATTTTCTGTACCAATACCAATTTCTTATTTAATGAGATACTGATTGAACGTCATTGGCATTATAGGCGGTGAACCTATTAGGCTCGTGAGGCTCAAGCCTGCCCCGGAATAGAGGACGGTAGACTCAAACTAGAACAGATCAAGGCTTCGGTAGGCGTGACTACATGTAAAAAGTTTCTAGTACTCAATGAGGTATTGATTTAACTTTATTGGCATCTTGATCGACATCGAATTCTTGCTTATTAATATAAGACAGTGAAATTATTTCCGTACATTTCTATTCGAATGGACTTATGCATTTTAGATATCTAAGTAGCATTATTCCTTCTATGTATATATACCAATATCAGCGAATTAAAGTCCGATTATGTTTTATTTTGCATTATAAAACAAAAGCCCAATCATGTATTAATGAAAATCCATCATCTATGGGAATTTTATTTATGACGCTGACGTATTAGACCGTAATCATATTCATACCGAATTAAAATCTAACAAGAAAATCTATAGCGGTCAGCATTATAAAAAAAATGAAGGGAATCATTTTCAAAGCCAATTCTTGAGGGTGTGGGTGTGTGGGTTTGAGATGTGAAGACTAATGGCGAATACCCACCCAAAAAATCAATAGTTTTTGTGTTAATATTCTTTTGAAACATACAGAAATAGAATACAGCATAAAAAATTCTACAATACATGTAAATTGATGAAACAAGGATCCTGAAGATAAAAAGTCTTTGCAGCATCTCTTAGTTTTTATTTAGGATGTAACCACAGCGAAACATCCTATTGCTACTAGTTATACAGCAGTCATCACTCCTTCAAGGTGTGGGTGTGCATCTAGTATACGAGAGTAACAGAGTGTCTCATGACCACACTCATAAACACCCACTCTATTGTTGTGCCTACGATTGTGGTTCCTGCTATTGTGTATATCTTTGCATATCCTCGAAATCGCCGCAGTTTAGACGATTAATCACGATTTTTATCAGAATGATACATAAATCGCTCTTTTTGTAGAATAAGAAATATAAAGAAAATAAGTTTCAGGAGGCCCTCTGATAACAGTCTGATATAATCTATCTATTTCGTGAAAGCCGTATCGTTCCTTGATGAATCTTGATTTTGTTCGGAAAATTGACCAAAAACCATCAGTAGTGTCCTGCACGGGTGCAACTTTTCATACCCGGAGCCGACCCGACTGATTTTTCCCACACCCGGAACCGCCCGGACCCGGTGGCCTTACGCCCGGACCCGAACCGGACCCGGACAACTATACCCGGTAACCGACCGGCACCCGACCGGATTGTGGTCAAAATTTTGCTAATAGTTTATTAGTGAGATGATCTCAATGAGATAAATAATCGATAATAAATAATAGATAATAAATAATTGATAATAAAAGATCAATAAAAATAATAAATAACATCAAAAACAATGTTTTTGTTGTTCAACTAAGGTCTAGAAGATAAAATAGAAGTGAATTCAAATGAGAAATTATAGAGAAATGAATACTTACAATCAATAATATATAACATTAAAAACTACGTTTTTGTGGTAGAAGAGATGATGAAGAGCTGAGCTAGGATAAAAAGTAAAAATTAATGAACATGTAGAAGTATGTGAGAATGGATACTTACGATGATTCATGTAAATGTGAGGCGGTAATAGATCAGTTATATAAAGCAGCTAGCACACTTAGCGAAGTTTCTTTAACATATAAGTAGAACAATCGTGTTTGTGGGTTAGGTTAGGTGACCCGTCGTGACTATTGAATATATTAGTGAATAATAACCCAATCAGATTCACATTCCTATGACTGAAATGACTGAAATCGACAATGATATCTGAAAATTTCATGTTTCTTCTAGATATCACTAGTTGGCCGGTCGGGTGTCGGTTTTTTGAAAATTCCTCAGCCCGACCCGACTTTTTTTTCCAGAACCGGCACCCGGCCCGACCCGGAGCTTTTCACCCGGACCCAGGTACCGGGTCGGGTCGGGTGCCGGTTACCCGACCCGGCTGCAGTACACTAACCATCAGTTTTAACGATACATCGTCCAACTAACCGAGATAAAATCGACGATTTCGTCGCGAGTTTTATGACATGGGTTGATATCTTTATACCCCTAGTATATGGCGATGCTTTTCTTTATTACATTCTTACATGTTGTATAAGTTGTATATTGACATATATGTAATATTGCTGCTTTCTTTTGGTTTTTCTCTTCATATCAGTGGCTACATTTTAAGTGAGTAAGCTTTACTTAGTCGTTTGAATGCTCCATATTCCATTTTACTGAGTATATATTATGAAAGTTGTCTCTTTTAGCATGTGAATCAACCGTTAGTTAGAAGAACTTGAAACGAACGTATTGATTACATTATTTATTGGATAATTCAAACAACTGCAGTTCATCATAATGACTGCTATCGTGGACGAGATTATGGCAAATTATAGAAAGGCTTATCCCGATGATCTTTTCGTGATTCATGGGTGGAGAGCTTCAGAAGAGGCTTGTAAATATCGGGGGATTGAGCTAACAAAAGTCAAGTGTGATGGTGACTATTGGTTGCGTGTTATTAAACTAAATAACGGGAAAGGATCAAGCATGAATCAGAAGGAAATTAGATACAAAGCATTTCCCTTTATTTACAAGACAAAAGATGAAGCAGATAGCGCAAAAAGAGTCCAGATTCTTAGTGACAGTTTAAAAAGTATATTCCCTGACCACTACGTCAGTGTGTTTATTTTCAAAAAAGATTGGTATCGTAGGTCATACTCTGGAGGCGGGTGCAGTTTTAGAAATGAATATGGATCGGATGTAGATATTGTTTTAAGCTAAATACTTTTATATGTCATGAATGATGATAATCAATAAAACTCAATTCATCTAATAAACATTGATTAAAGCGTTTGGCGTGGGTATGGATCTGTGCGAAGAGAAAACACCAACAACCTCAAGGATGACGGCAAAAAAATGGTCTAAAGCCAAGTATTTTCAGTCAGACCCGACTTATCTAACACCGATGAGAACTACAAATAGCTAATTTTTACCAATGTTAAAGATCATATCGAAGTAAAAGGCTTTGTTTATATTAATATATATGTATGAAATAAAAAACAAACAAACAGAAGGTACGAAATAAAATACAAGGTATGAGCACACATTTTGCTAAGAGTAAGACAAGAGACACTGTTTCAAAATGCATATCAAAATGACAAAGAAAAATGAATAAGAGAGAATAGAAAAAATTTCTCAAATACTGTATTCTCTCGATGTTGAACTGCCAGTTGATGAACATGCTGCAGATGAATGATTGGGATAGAGCATATTGGAATTCGCAGGTGGTGGCGGTGGTGGTACATCAATTGAATCATATGTCAAATAGGTCGATTGTAAATCTGCTACTGGTCTTCTTGTAAATGCTTGTACAGTCTTTTTTAAATTATAATGATTTGATAATGATGATGATGTTGCAGGCGAATGAAATGTTTTCAAAGGATGACATTGCTGTTGAATATTATTATCATCAACAACATTACTAATCGATTGATGAATACCGACAACAACCATTGTTGCTGATTTATTATTTGTTGACGATTGATGTCGTTGTGTTGGTACAGCATAATCAACACTTGTTGAACTTAAACTTGATGATCGATGTTGTGCTGTAAGAAGAGGACGTGCAACACCATGTGCACTTGAACTTGATCGAGATAAATCATTACTTCCGTAACAACTATCTTCTGAACTTCCACCACCGCCAGCTAAACGTTTTATATCATCATAAGGTTCAAGATGATGATGTCCATTCAATTTCTATAAAAAAAAAAGAGAGAAGAAAATGTATCTATGCATAAAACATGTCCAAGTGTGTTTGTGTCATTTCAATATAATTAACTTTGATATATGTCTAAGATGTGCGTTCACACTTCATTTCCCGGATCTCCTATGTGTGAAAGTAATTCTTACGTAATCGTAACTTTAAAAATTATGATCAAAGGAATGTCTTCATTTTTTGTTTTTCGCATATACGATTATTTATTTCAAATGTTAAATAGTGGTCTAACCTTTTGATAGAATTCGTCTCAATATAGATATTCGGATTAAGATGACAACATTCACTCACACATGGTTAGATTAAAATACACAAAAGATGACCTTTTGTCTAAATCAGATATGATACGATATAACTTACATTCGATTGTATTGTTGCCGTTGTTGTAAGAAGTTTATCAGCATCAGTTGATTGAAGTAATTCACAAGGTTTAGTTAATGACGATCGATTTAAATGTTTACAACGTTTTTGTTTACAAAAGACAGCAATTAAAATGCCCATTGTTATACTAAATACTAATGTCAAAATAGTCGATACGATAACGACAATAATAATTTCACGTGTTAAAATAGTTTCATAGTCTAATGTATGTTCTTTTCCTTGAATTTTATCTATTAATGGTTGAGAATTTATTGATGCTGTATAAAATAATTTATTAATATATTCTCCAACTTTAATATTAATATCTATGGTTGAACATTTTGGAATTAATTCGTTTTGATCACATACTTTTACCGTGAGACGATGATGTCCCTGACGTAAACTATTCGATTGAGCATAAATGGTTCCATTTAACGAATTTATTTGAAAATAATCATTTTGATTTCCATCAATAATTGTATATGTTAAATTTCCATTCATACCAGAGTCTCGATCGTGAGCATTGATATTTGTAATTGTAATTGATTTCGATTGGCTTGTTTCTAATAATTCACTTGGAATATAAATAGCTGATAATGGTTCAATAATAGGTGTATTATCATTAATATCAATGAGTTCAATGACGACAGTGACACGATCTGAATGAAGATAATCATTATCTTTGGCAGTGACATATAAACGATGTAGAGGATGATTTTCATAATCAAGTATGGCTTTTGTTCGTAATTGACCATTCAATAGATTTATTTCAAATACATCTTGATCATCAATACATGTTAATTCATAATGTATAGTTGTATTAGTATCCAGATCTGATGCTGTTATTTGACCAATCAATGTTCCAATAGGAATATTTTCTTGTACACGAAATGAATACGAATCTTGTTGAAATTTTGGTTTATTATCATTGATATCATTTATATAGACAACAAATGAATGTAGAGTTTCAAGATGTTTAGGATTTTTTCCATGATCACTTATATTTAATATTAAATTATATTTCGATTGAGATTCATAATCGAACGATATATTTTTTCCTACAGAAAATATACCAGTTAGTGGATCTATATGAAATAATCGTGAATTATTCGATGAAATAAGAGAATAAGTTAAAAGACTATTTGACGAATTTGGTGCATCGAAATCTTGCGCATGAAATTGAACAAGTTTAATATTCGGTGGATTGTTTTCATTGATATTTATTGGAGATGGATAACGATCAAGTAAGGGTGGTGAATCATTTATATCGAGTAGAACAATGGTTATATCTTTTTGAGTTATTAATGATGGTCTAGCACCTGAAGATGAAGAAAAAAAAAGTATAAATTTTAATTAAAAATGCTTTTAGCATAATCCCGTAAATGTGACAAAAAAAAACGATGTAAATGTTATTCTTAACAACTAACAGATTATTTTATTGTATTTATTTAATCCGCTAGAAATGCAATTAGGAAGTAGAATTGTTCTTTTAATGAAATACAAACCTTGATCTCGTGCTTCGAATGTTAAACGATATTGTTCTTGTTGTTCACGATCAAGTCGGCCTATAACTGACAAACTGTATAAATCATTGTATTGTTCATTTAATTGAAATAGATTTGTATATGTTAATAGTTTTAATTCTATTTTATCATTCATTGAATCTTTATCGTTGACACTTAAATGAAATAAACGTGTATTGATGTTTTGTTCTTCATCAATATAAAACATATATTTTCGTGGATCGATTTTATTTGGATCAATATCTGGTAGAATAAAATCAATATCAGGCGGACAATCGTTCACATCAAGTATATCGACTTGTATTTGTGTATAAACATTAATAGCATCAGGTCCATTATCACGTGCACGAACATTAAAACGATACGTTGTTTCTTGTTCATAATCTAATAAATGAATTAATTTAATAATACCTGTGGTTGCATTGATTTCAAATGGAAATGTTTCTAAGGGATGATTTGTTATGATCGTATAATTAATTAAAGCATTTAAACCTTCATCATTATCATAAGCATGTATATGAAGAATATCGGTGCTCATAGGAGTATTTTCATATAATTTCAGATAATATTGTTCATGTTCAAATTTAGGAACATTATCATTCGAATCAAGTATATGAACATCGAGTAATAATTGTCCTGTAAGTTCACCGTCGCTAGCAGAAATTCTCATTTTATAGATAGTTCGTTTTTCACGATCGAGCGATTTTAATAGACGTAAGCCAAGTTGATTTTCTGTATGTAAATTAACAAGAGAAAATGTTTCAAATAGATCTTGATCACTCGATTCATTAAATGCTAGAATACGATATTCAAGACGATCTTGAAAATCAAGATCGGCTGCCGATGGAAACGATGATATATAACCAATGTCGGTATTTTCTGATAATCTTATATGAAATATTGATATAGGAAATAGGGGTTGATTATCGTTTATATTTATAATGGTGATATCTAATGATAATATATCAATCGATTGAGATGATGCTATTATTTCTAATGTTAATATGCATCGTTCACAATTGCATATATGTGTTTGACATAATTCTTCGCGATCGATCATACGTTTTATAGATATACGTCCTGTTAGAGAATCAATAATAAAAAATGAATTGTGTGGACTTGAATCGGATAGAAAAGAAAATTTATATAAATTTGATGAGGATGAGTAAACACGACTTAAATCATAGATAGATGTACCAATGGAGCTTTGTTCATTTAATGAAATTGGTGTCAATCGTTGAATTGCTGTATAAATTGGTTTCAAATACAAGAGAAATAGTAATAAAAATTGAATAATCTGCATTGTGTTATACTAAATCTAGATGAAATATTAAAAAAATTAAAAAAAAAAACGAATGAGCAAACAGAAGCAGCTTCACATGATTAATCCCTATTCTAATGAGTTAAGACCTGAATAAAGATCAACCCGTACATATCTCATTCTAGAGTTAGTTGAGATGTTAACAAAAGAAGCTGATTGTACGCGAGAGAACGAGAAGAACTGAATTGTATACACTGGTCTTTTCTTCTATCTTTTTTGATTTTTCTGTTGACGAGAAAGAAAGAAAGAACGAACGAACGAAAAAAAAGAAGAAGAAGACGAGAAAGACACTACGGGGACAGATAACATAGTAGATGCACATATGAGCATAAATTCACTGAGAGTGTGTTGGTGATTAGAGATTTTAATGAACAACTTGGTCACGCACCAACTTTTTTTTACGCTGGACTCTCTACTGATGCTGCTCAGTGAGATTTTATCTATTCGATGTGTATACACACATTTGCAAAGATACATACACGTATAATATACATATATACACAAATCGATCGTTGAGCGCTCCACCCAATTTTCGAATTAATGACCGATAACCTACAAGTGTGAATGTTCATCAACTATACTATGATCTCTTTTTTTTCCTTCTATAGTCTTTTATTTGACGCTTATAAACAAAGTTTAACAACAAAGAAAAAAACAAACCACTAAATGAGGATGATGAATGTGTATCGCCGTATGTATATATATAAACTTGTATACTGCAACTACAAAGTGACTTCCTTTCCGGAAGACTGAATGCATGCACATCAGAATCTTTCGTTAAATGTTTGTATGCTATGTAACTACGAAGACAAGGCAAGGATTACTATGTTGATGATGATGATATAGTCCTGATTGATTTTTATGCAGCCGACAAACGTTAATGGTGACAAATGAAACGTCAAACAGTGTTAAACTGAGTACAACACCAATGAATTTAAAAGGAGATCAAATTATCATCGGTATCGCAGTCTTACGAAATATAAACTCTGTTTAAATTCGTTTTCTATACAAATATGTATAATTATCTAAAACTTATTTATTAGAAAGCAACGAAACATACATACAATGTCCTAATTACGAGAGTGGAGTTGACTGTTCAATTATGTTGTACATTTTTTTCTTCTTTATTTTATATATGACAAACAGAAGATTTATATATTCACACGAACAATGAAACTACTATCGCTTATCGCTTGATTAAGAATATGTGATGTGTTCATCTAGATTCACGTACACACGCAAATTCGATGTTGTCTAGGCGGGACGATGACGTTCAAATTATTAATTTTAGGTTCGATATATATATATATACACATGCTCCCACAGGTCGAATTAAAGTTCAGGGACAATCTAACACACGTATATATGTATATATACATATAGATATATCTCTATATAGAAATACATTGAGAATGAATTATTTCATTTTCACACGGGATACATCTTTCACGCCTAATTAACACATATACGAAGAGAATATAGCACGCGACTACTCACGTAAAGCTAACCTTGTATACATATAGAAGTAGACAGTTATATTTCAACTTTTACTAAACTGACAGAATCACTATTGAAAGACATAAAATGAATATTGATGATGACTGACTGACTGACTATGTTTACAGTAAAAAGAAACACACCGTGTAAATCGATCATAGATCGATTTGATTCCAATTAGACGGCTGCTGTTGAGTTGGTCGGTCAGTCGCGCCGCCCTTCTGTGTCTATATCACTACTTCTGAATGTTCTTTACAGAGATTGATCATTATTTTCGACTTGACTAATGCTTGCACGCGTGCACTTTCGGATGACAAAATCCGTATGTGCGCATACCGATCAAGACAATAATAATGAGGGACAGCAATTGTTGAGTCGGGGTTCAAATAAGCAGAAGAAGGCGAGACAAACGAGTGAGTGAATAAGTAAGTGAGACTTCCGGTTGAACGGTCCAGATGCATCTGATAACACACCCCTACTCTTCGTTAAGGACCAGAGAAATAAAATAAAGATTTTCATAAGTTCTTGTATGAATATAAAATAGCCTAAGGATATATATATATATAGTTTGATCTTAACCTGATTATCAGTCTACTTCATCTTATACTTTTTTGTTTTTGTTTCTCTTTCTCTTTCTCTATCTCTAACAAAAACAAACAAATTAAACAAGTAGAGTACTCATTTAAATTATGCTGTTTCATCTTACACATAAACGAAATCGCTATTCATCACGGTCATCAGTACAAAAGAAAGTACCGACTTATATTGATATTAACGGTGTGTATGAAAAACAACAACGCTAGTATGCTAGTTTTAAGGTCATTTCCTATTGTTAGAATAGTTCATAACTGGACAATGATGATCATTATTAATCTATTTATCAAGAACTATATTATGTACATAGAAGAAGAAGAAGAAGAAGAAGAAGAAAAGGAAAAGAAAATCTTCTTACTTACATACTATTATCCCATCATATAAATGGCTTCTGACAGAAACATTCCGGGTTTCTCTTGGTCTTTCCCTCGGATATTATTTTTTCTTATAAGATTATGCATTGAGTTTGAAACAAATGCAGCTGCTAGTGGCGGATGCAAAAGAAAGAACAAGAACAAGCGAGAATGTGAGAAAGATGGAAAAAAATGCGGTTGATTTTGGCTCGCTTATTAATTTGACATTGAATTAACTACTATATTTCACTTGTATGCATCTCTGTGTGTGCGGTCTACATTGTCAATTGAACAGAGACAACGTGCGGAAAAGACAATGAAACAACAAGGACAATACAGGCCACCGACTAATCTTGTTGTGTGAACGATCGGCAATTGTTCTTTCTCTCTTCGTCGTCTTTTTTTTTTCTGTTATAGAATTTGAATGACGTGTATCTCATTTTAAATTTATTTCGTTTTTTTTTGCTCGCTGACAATTCTTCTCATATTTGTATTCGAACAGGTACTATCAAAGAGAAAGTATACGAATCAGACATCAGCTATGAAGGTCAAGTGAACGGGACACAGCAGGAATATAACCTTTTGGGTCAGTGCGTCGTTTGTCAATACATATATATATATATATGTATATATATCTTGACTTTGAATCACTGTATTGAGTGAAGTACAAATTGGAGTGGACGATAGGAGAAAAAGAAAGAACGAAAAGCAAATTTGATGAAGCTGGTTATTCATTTAGTTATTATACGAAGCTCATTCTTATTCAAAGAAGATCATTCAAAAAAAATAAAAAAAATAAAAATAAACGTGACATAGAAGCTCTGTAGTTTTATCTTTCATTAGGATTTAATGTCACATTCTTCTTGAAATAGATTAACGTAGCAATTCATAATAAGAAATACATAATCATTAGCGACATGAGAAGATGATGATTACTGTAATTTTAGTCTTTCTAATTGTCTTCTTGTTTTTCTATGACTATGGGTCTATCTGATGTTACTTCTAGATATACGTATGTATGTGCAGGTGACACACACACGCGAAATGGCAGCTTAACTCTAGAGTATAGGCTATAAAATACACAGACAGATTGTCTCTTAAATTTTCTTCCAGGTTTTATGTTTTTTTATTCTGTTCAACAAATTGATAGTATTAGTTATTCTCGATGTCCGAGTGAGCTGTTCCGGTTCGATGAGAGTCATCATAAATATAGAGGTATGATTAGTAAATAGGAAGAACTATAATGCAGTAGATGAACGTCTGCTGTATTGTTCTTTCGTTATTAGGAGAAATGGCGATGAAGCAAAAAGGAAATGACTAGCCTATGCACTGCCTAGGCATTGTATATTTCATATCCTTTATACTTATTGAACAACAATAGTGATGAGTGACATGACATGTTTCTTAACGAACGAATGCTGGTAGACGCATAATTTATTAACGGGATATTTCATTTAGGATGTCATTGTGTATAGATTACTATTTATCTTAATTAGATTTGAGTGAATTTCTTTTTCTCCATTTTCACTCTATTCAACATATAATTGATATAGTTGTAAAAATATTGACCTTTCTTTTATTTTGGATAAATGAATTGTGTTTTAGAAGGACAGACGATTGAATATTTACTTGATGTCAATAGAATATGGTTTTTTTTCGAGGACAAACGTGATGGATTGAGTTAATGATGATGAGGATGTTCGATGCACAACGAACGACAAGAAGTGGAACAACATCGACCAAAATTACGGACATATATACATAACCTCAAAAGGGAGAACGGATAGATATGCGAGCAGATAACAAGTCATCTTAAACAAGCTTCCGGTGATTGTCTTATGAACTACTATCGTATATACTCGATATTCATCATCTTCTCAAGTCAGTTCCGCTCTACGAACTCAATTAGAAGCCTGCATTGCGCATCTCTAATGGTCATCATTTTCTTTTCGAGAGCCTCTCTCTCTCTGTCTTGCGTACCACTCGACTGTGTCGGCTATCCGTCAAGCAAGGCTAAGTGGTCAATATTCTCTCTTATTTCTCTGCCTCTTACTACCTCGTAATTTCCTGCTTTATCCCTTCAATGCCAGTAGCACTTGTCAATCGATCGCTTACTCCGATCGTGCGCAACCTTCGGCATTGAATGAAGTCGATTTCTTTTCTTTCTTTTTTTAAATTAAAATCACTTTTTTTCTCTCTTATGAAAACATATGTAGAGATTTATATGTTCTCTCATAATTTACTTCTATATGTAATTTAATTTAACTTTAGTTATAACCGAACTTTTCAGTCAATCTCAGAAGAAAAAAGTTAATAAATTACGCGTGTTGTCTTACCTTTGTTATTACTTATTGCAAACGGTACAATAACATGACGAAAGATGATGATGATGATGATGATGATGATGATTATGATAATGATCAGACACACCGCCCATAGTGGCATAGTTCAACTAGCACTACTATCATCAGTAATATGCTTGTCCAGATACTCATTATTCTTCTTTTCTTGTGCGACTACCGTATATGCTCCCTATCATAACTCAGACATTTCTCTGTTCCTCTTTTTCTTTCTGTTTCTTACACCGACTATACAACATCCTGTGCGTGTGAGAACAAGAGCGAAGAGAAGTGCGACTTTAATGAATTCTTCTCTATTTTTTTTCGCTTTTCTTCTCTCCTCTGTCCAGCACATACACAATACACACAAATTCTCATTTCCTGTAGAGTATATGAGAGCGAGCAGGCGAGTGAAAGAGACAGACAAGAGACGACTTCTCTAGCGTTCTATCTTATAATACAGAAATAATGAAAAAATATGAACAGCAAGCAAGAAAACCGAGACCAAGAGGAGGCGTCATCAATAGAGACGGTGATGAGCGAAGAGCATCATAATCTAGTAGAGAGCAAAAGAAGAAACAAGAAGAAAGAAAACATGGGAACGCCAAAATGATTATTGTTAATCGATCAAACTCAGAAAGTAGTCGTCCAAACGAATCTTCATTTAGGTTAATAACATCATGTCGTCCAGATATCATTCTCATATGAAATGACGTAATGAGTGGTTGTATTTATAACAGCAAAAAAAAAAGAAGTCATCGGTCTCCCGTAGCTCTCTCGTGCTTCAATCAGAAGAAAATAATAATAATAATATGGTGACAGAATTGACTTTTCTAATTTAAGGAAAAATCATCACGTCATGATATTAAACTATCAAATATTTGTTTGCATCTGTGACACTAATCTGATCATTGTACGGAACACATGAGAACAATTGTAATAAAACAAAATGCTATAAAAAGAAAGCATGAAATACAGTTAATAGAAAAGCTGACCTTGCTTCTTAATGGCCGATGAACCGACACATCATTCAAGAAAGAAAAATGAGCGATAAATTATGATATTTATCATCTTCATTACTTTTTTGCGTAAGATGCATACATATATATATATATATATATACGATCATTGACCAATAATGACCTTTATGTATGACGATTTGTTAGATATGTTTTTATTAGGAAATGAACGAAGAATTAATCGTACAAGATGATCAAATAATAATTAAAAAAGATTGTGTTATATTTTACTACGAGCTGACTCAGTGACCATATAATGAAATTCGTTTAAGAAATTGAATGACCAACGAGAAGTGTATTACGCTTTGTGTCAATGTAATCAGCTAGATGAGTGCCAAGCAACAGAGGGAAAACGGAGAATATTTTTAGGCTATGAAATACTGAATTATTGATATATATGTTAACTGGTCTATAATTTTCTTCCTACAGACAAGACGCCGACATATAATTTTCTTAATGTGATGATTGAAGTTTCCCTCGAGAATCATTGTAAAATATTTATTTTGAAACTAAATAAAAGAAAAAGAGCGGGACTATCTACAAACAAATAGTTTTAAATTCTCTTACGAGTTTTTATTCATCTAAATCAAGGATAAGAATTTGTTGGTATCATATTCAGCCCCAAGTGTATGTATATGTGAATAGTTATCATTTTTTTTCTATCTCTCCTTCCAGAAACCCGTCAAATAACACACACTCACATTTGAGTATGTCTTACAACTAAATACAACAAATCTAAGAAGTTCTATACTTGTCAAGGTCTTTCTGTTTTTCTATATAAATCTGCTTATAGACATTGATGACAGTAAAAGATCATCATACAAGATGGAATATAAAAGAAACAGAAGTGTTTATACCTTTCGATCTGTAGAAGTCTAAACTAATATCTATTGATTGTGATCAAACAGAATCAGCCGACTGACAATGCGCTCTTTTGCATAATAAGATGTGGCGATGCAATAGCTGATCCACTAATTAGTGGTTATCTGTAACTGTGAGGATTGTGTTCAGTTGTTTGCGCTTCACTGCATCTCGATCACATGCTGAATTAGATTCGAATATAACTTATACATATATATATATAATATGTATATATGACTGATTATTACATATTTAACAATGATTACATCATTTTTGTTTTTTATTGTTCAATCATCATCATCGTTTATTCGTATCCAGTGGCAGCAATGACTTCACCAAAGCGCAGAATGAGAAAAAAAGGAAAGTGAGAGAGGGTCCATTGACAGTTTTCTTTGTGGTTATAATAATTAAACAGATCAACACATTCTCCTTTGCATATTCAGTACGTATGAGAGCGTCAGTGATAGAATAAGATGTTACCAGGACCATGCATACATACATACATCGTAGAGACAGCCTATTTTGAATTCAAAGCGTGTGATACACATTCGATAGATTGCTTACATAAGTGTTTGATGTGATGCTGATGTTATTTAAAAAGAAAGTAAACGTGAACGATATTAGATGAGAAAATGTTTAAGTTATATGTACGATATTCATGCAATACCACGAAGAAATAAAGTAAATTGACATCGATTTTTCTCAAAAGAATACTCTTCTGTTGTATAACTTGAAACAGGAACGAGAAAAGAGTCATATGTGATCTATCATCCTACGTAGAGTAGACAAGAATATGAGCGTAATAAAGATAAGAGTTGAAATCAATTGATTTCTAAACAGACAATACATATAACATTTATGACGTCGAGCATCGGTCGAATATAACAATCAAGTTAAGAGTGCTTAGACGCAAGGTGTCATCGACGGAGAAAAAAAAGTGAAATTATTGATAGAACGCCTTCAGCATATTAAAAATGGTTTAATTTTGTGAGCCGACTATGAAGAAGAAGAAGAAGAAGAATAAAACCCGCATTGTCTATTATGAAATAACCCTCAAGCCTACTCGTTTCTTTTTTTTTTGCTATTATCGCTTCAATAAAAAAGGCATTGTCTCTTGTATATTGTAAATCAAATAAATTTCAAAAAAATAAAAATAAAAATCGTTTTAATTATAACATGAAACAAGTTTTTGACATTTGATATGATTGAAGGAAAATTCACGTGTATCATAGTGGTCAAATTTGATCTAATCTCTCATCGGATAGATAATGTTCAGAACAATAGTTATTATCTCCTGAGGGATATTGTTTTAGATTGATCGATCAATGAAATCGTATGTACTAAAAACAAAGATTATTGTGTATGTGAATCATCAAGAAAAAAAGAACCCAATAGATTCACTATGGTTTATTGCTTTTTGATCATAATACAATCCACATTTATAAATAAGCCTTCATATAAAGCCTCTTTTTTTTTTTATTAATCTGTCTTGATAAACACTGCTTTTCAATTAGTAGGAATATTACATATGTCAGACTAAAACAAAATCAAATAATCCATCGTTCTATATAATGAGTAAAAAGAAGATTATTTGACGTTTCTTTTATCTTTTCTACAAGGTGAACCCTTCACTTCTACAGTTGATTTCCGAATACATACTAATCAGACCGTTAATCTGATCAATAGAATTCTGAAATCTAATGTTAAAGGTTCTAATTATGTTCTATTTCAATTATCTCTAGGCCGTTTTAAAATCCAGATTTATTCAAATAGATAATAGAGATGAAATTTACCTTTTAATTCAGCAATTAAAATCTTATGCTATCACAAGAAAAAATACTTCTGTTGATCTGGAGAATTGTCTGATAACATTGACTAGTACAAACTTACTGTTGATGTATAGACCGCGTACAAGATTACACTAGCCTTGTTAATGTATTGATTTACTTTTCAATAAATTCTTTATGAACCATGTAAACCGATACTAGAGCGTCTATACTATTTTAGTTAGATCAAATGCGACTAGCCGTGTAACAATTATTATCAGTGAGAATATTTCTTCGATAGGATATCGATTTTATTCTGATGCAATCAAGCTTATTAATTCATCAGACTGTAGATAGATATATCAATATGTCGTAAAGTTAAGATATTATATTGATATGACATAACAAAGCATGAAAATTTTTTCTATCCTTTTATAATAGTGAGAAATTTATGAATTACTCAATAGTCGCATAAGTGCGCATATAAACAATACATAGACTAAACAGACCAATGATCTATCTCGTCAAACTTTTCAGCAAGTAATCAAGAATTAATTTCAATTGTCTCACTTGATAATGCAAGAATTTGAAATGTGACGAAACAGATGATTATTAATGCTGCAAGTGTTTTGTTTTGTTTGACGTTATGTACTCTCAAGGATTTCTATATGTTTATTTTACCTTTGAAAATTTTTAACTCAATGCCACACCTTTTGCTTCAATGAAAATTGATATGACATTTACTAAAAATCTTGTCAGTTAAGAACACATCGAAAAAATGACTCATTCATCCTTCTCTTTTTACGCCTGCCAATGTCTCAAGATCAATCATAAACAGTTGTTAAGGCTCGACTAAAAACACTGCATCGATTTATTTTAATTTTTGCGCTGCGATTTCACAAGGAGATAGTCCTTCTTGTCGTGCTTTTTCTTCTTCTTCATGTTGATGTTCTTTTTCATCATCTTCACACGTACGAATCAGGCGTGTATTATCGAATAGCATATACGGTTTGATAACTAAACCTAAAGTTAAGAAAAAACCACGACATTGAATTTTTGTCATAAATTCAAAAACGATCAATACGAACGATAAGTATTTTCATCAGTTTGTATTGTTTGTAAAACTTCTCGGCGAAGAAAACTATCTGTATCTTTTGCTGCGCGAATTAACTAAAAAAAAGAGAAAATTAAAGAAAATCAATAGTGTGAATTCAAAATTCACCTCTTTGATCGTTTTCTCATCTTTTTCATTTTTATAATGTGTAAAATTTTCTCGTATGCCTTGCGTCATACCTATAGAAAACAAAAACAAAAATAGAATTGTTCATTGTGATCTACAAACTCACTATAGATTCGCGCAGGATCATTTTGAAAAACAGCTTGTGCAGTACGAATTAACTTTTTATAATGAGTTAAGACTTGTGAACGAAGTGAGATGCTCATTATTATTATTCTATAGAACAAAAACAAAATTAATAAAGTATCCTTCCCCAGTCTAGTTTTTTTTTGTTCTTTTATGTATGACTTAATGAACAAGGTACAATAAGATATAACATATGCAATAAAATAGAACGACAACGACAATAAAAAGACGACTCTAGTTTTATTTCTTTTTTGCTGCCGATGTTCCTTTGGATTCTTGTTCGACGGGTGCTTCTTTAACAAATGGAATCTTTTCAGAATATTCTAGAAACAGAAAGTTGAATATCAAGAGAATACTAAATAATGTGAAACCTACTTTTAGGCATAAGAGGCTTAAGAATTTCAGGTACCACAATACCATCATCGGTTTGATAATTTTCGAGAATAGCGCAAATTGTACGTGTTGTTGCGCACATAGTTGCATTCAACATATGAACGTATTCAGCCTAAATCGGAATCAATTTGATATAATTTAATGGTGATGATGATTTGCACTTACGGCTTCATTATTTTTTTTCACTGTACCATAACGAATTTTGAGCCGTCTCGATTGATAATCAAGACAATTAGAACATGAGACAAGTTCACGAAATCTACCCGAGCCAGGAAACCATGCTTCTAAATCAAATTTTTTTGCTGCTGCATTATTTAATTCACCTAGAATCACAAAAAAAAGATACACGACATGAAAGATTTCTTTGTATTTATTCTAACTAGATCTACTAACCAGAAACGATGTTAACAATACGATAAGGAATACCCAATTGTCTATTAAATTCTTCAGCATTGCCAATCATTTCTTCGAACATCTTCCATGATTCATTATCTTGTGGTGATGTAATACAGAATTGTTCAATCTAACGAACAATATTATATAAATAGAATTATGATTGGCAAATTTGAGCTCGTAGAAAAACCTTTTCAAATTGATGTACTCGGAAAATACCACGCGTATCACGACCATGAGAACCAGCTTCTTGTCGAAAGCATGTCGAGATACCACCATAGCGAATAGGCAATTTTGAAGTTACAAGCCATTCGTCGCTGTAATAACAAATCATTCAGATATTAGTTGACATATCAATCGAAAAAAAGCGACACTCACCGATGATAAGCAGCAATAGCTTGTTCCGACGTTGCTATTAGATATTTTTCTTCATCATTTGATTCGCCAGGCTTGTCATCTTTGCATACAACCTATTTAAAACAATTGTTCCATATTTTTTCTTCTACTAGAAGTCGTTCTTTACTTTGTATAGTTCGTCATCGAATTGACTCAATTGAGCTACTTCCTGCATAACATCCTTACGCATAAAAAATGGTGTATAAAGTATTTCGAAATCTTTATCATCTAATAAACGTAAAGCCAATTGAATAATTGCTTGTTCAAGAAATACAGCAGGACCCTGAAATGATTGCCAAATTTTATAAAAAAAAACAAAAACAAACAGGATTGTTCATTTATGCAAACCTTCATAAAATAACCACGCGATCCAGCGACTGCGGCTCCTCTGTCACCGTCATAACCATCAATCATATACATTAAATCAAAATGAGAATATTTCTTTCGTGTTTCAACATCTCCAAAAGTTCGTTCTGTCACATTGTTATCCTGAAAAAATGAATTAATGATATTTGCAAATGAAATAGTTCTTTTTCGCTTACTTCATTATCACTAACAGGTACAGATTCATGAACAATATTACCTATTTCACGTAAAGTTGCATTACGTTCATTTTCAATTTTTATTAAATTTTCTTTTGTTTTTTCAATTTCATTATCGATTAATGCACTGAGATTTTTTATTTGTGTAATTGTTAATTTTCCAATTAATTCAGCGTCAAGTGTTTCAAGAGAAATTTTTAAATTTTCAGGTAAAACTTCAACATCACCTTCATTTTCTTTTGCTTGCTTTTTCGAACCAATTGTACGTCCACAAAGATTTTTTACTTTATTCCATTGATCAGCTTGATAACGAATTGTACGCCATTGTGAATCAAGATCAATAACTTTATCGACGCGTTCAAGACCTTTGTAACGTTTTTTTTGAGAATCACGTACTATTTCTGGATTTCGACGAAGTAATTCAATATCGAGTACCATTCTTGAAAATAACGATGATCTACTATGAAATAGAAAAGAAACACAATTGATGCTCCTATAAATATATATCTATTGCATCAAATTGCATCATCCATTCGGCAATCTGTAAAAGCAAGTGCGCAATAGATCTTGATCATCTTTGAACAGAATTATACCGAATTATGGAAATAGTTTACTGAAATAATTTATCCACGTCTTCAATAACGCCAGATCAACTGCCTAATTCTTGAATGGACGACGGCAACGCCTTTTATGAATGATTGATTCTATGGATGGTTTAGATGTCGTTGTTAGACAGTTGAGCATATTTTGTGGAGACATATGATTTACTAATTTCATATTTTATTTCAAACAGTTCCAATACAAAAAACAAACACAAAAACGCAAGTTTGAGAAAGCGACGAACATGCTCTTGGTTGGATAATTGTGCAAGAAATCTATCTAACATGTTAAACTAAGGAGATTTACCGACAACAGTTCGTACAATACCATTACTAAATACAAATTCTTTTGCTTTGTTAGCAACATAAAAGAATGGTAATAAACCAGTGAAATATTGAATCCATGCCCAACGAAATTCTGTCCAAAAACTTGGTACGTAGCGATATATCTGTAAAGGAATATTAACAGCAACTTTGATTGTTAATAGATATACTGTCGAGTTATCAGTAGACGGTATTGATGCCCATTGAACATATTGTTGATCAAATGTTGTAAAATAGGTACGATTGGTATAATTATCCAATAGGTTATCAAATGACGGTACAATTGAATAACTTCCATAATCAATAATTGGACCTTGAATAGATGAATAATTTTTATAGCTTACTAATGGTTCACGTTGATGAAAACTAAGTTGACCATACACAGTAACCGCAGTGTTCGCTGATAACGATGAAGGTACATTCAATTGAATTAGCCCAAGTGTTTCCATATTGATTAATGGAAATCGATTGAGTTGATATTGAAATAGAAGCCAAAGATTGAGAACTGAACTTGAAATAGCGCTAGGGAAAATGACATTTAACGTTATGTTTTCTTGATCTATTACTTGACCATCGTTGGAATATCGTGGCATAAAACTAGTAAGAGTGCATGGAACGAGAGATGAACTAAAATGATTGTTTAAACGTGAGTCAGATGAACAGAATCGAAGAGCTGATAAAGAATCAATAATTAAATCATATTTTTGAAGAAATGTTACAGTAGGTTGTTCAGTATACGTTAATTCTTTATAATAGAATCCACTTGTAAAATAACCAGTAAACAACGGTGGTAGGAAAGTAAGGAAAAGACAACACGTTTGAAATATAATAGCACTTGAACATGGATAAGTTAAATAACGAATACGATGCTCTTGAGAATAGACTTTATATAAAACCATCTTATTCAATTATGAACTATAGTATTATCGATTACTTTCTATATTCAACATCATGCACTATCATTTTCACTCATATCTAAGTTATTACCTCTACTTCCATATTATACTTATGACTTTACGTGATAGATGGAGTTAATGTCTTTTCTATGATTTAACCAAAGTCAACTGAGGTGAGAGAGAAAAAGCCTTAGATAACTATCTCTCAACAGTATAGAATTAAGTCAACTAAATCGTATTTATTCATAAATAGATTAATTGATAAAAATACGAATAACACATTTTCAAACTATATTTATCCCTTTAATTGTCATTTGATCCATTGTTTATATTCATCATCATTATCATCATCATCTGCACAAATGTAGAACCTACGCACTGCTGTAGTATCTCTACCAAATTGATAATCATCGTGACATGCGAAAGAGAAAGTTCGAGCTATTTTAGGGTGAAGGAAAGAGTATAAACAACAACAAAAGGCACCAATCGATGAATATTCCCATGAATACAGTTGCACGCATAACTATGTAGCAGGAGAAGAAGAAGGAGGAGGAGGAAGTGCCAGAAAAAGAAGTGCATAACACTGAAAAAATTGGCCCTCACATATCAGAAAAGACAAAAAAGCAAACCGAGGTAAACGCCTAGTACCATCCATATATGTATTTCTGTTTTCTAGATTTTTACAAGTACATAGCAAAAAAATGGCTACAGGTCCGACAGTTAATCGCCCATTGACAAAAACATTTTGTGAAAAATGCAAACAAGTATTTACACCTAAAGATGCTATGCAAATTTATCAGGAAAAATATTATCATCCAGCTTGTTTTTGTTGTTCAAATTGTGGCAATACATTAGCTGGAAAACCATTTTATCCTAAGCCAAATAATCAATTTCAATGTGAAAATTGTAATATTTCGCTTGCACCAAAGTATTTAACACACACACACACACACTTGGTTCGATCTATTAAAACTAATTGTTTTCATTCTAGTTGCTGTATATGTAATCAAAAGATTCAATCGGGTACTACAGCAAAACGATATAAAGACCGTCATTTTCATAGTGAATGCTTTCGGTAAAAATTTGTTTTCTTTTGTGTTGAAGCCATGTGATAGGTGTGTGTACTTTGACATAAGGTCGAGAACAGAAGAAATTATATTCTTGCCAATCTCATGACTCAAATTGTTAGAACATTGTAGCTTATAATAAATGATTCTTTTGTTTAGCTGTTGCAAATGTAACGCTGTTATACCGGATGGTGAATATCTATATATCTATATATATATTTCGACAGATAATTTTAATAAATTTATCTACAATTCAATTTAGGTCATAATTTTGTGGATATGTTAGATGGACGTTTTCAATGTTTAACATGTTCAAAACATATAACAGGTACTTATCAAGGCAAAGAACATGCTCCACAATTGGAAAATAGCATGGGCGAAGTCACTGCTGTTCAATGCGATCAAGCAGGTCGTATACCCCTTTGTGACAAATGTACACGACCGGTCACCAGCGATGAAGAAGCATTCAAACATGATACACGTTATTATCATCTTGAATGTGCACGTTGTAATCGATGTCGTAAGAAACTTTTTAGAATTCCATGCAGAAAACTTGGTTCTGCTTTAGGTAAATATACAACAACAAAAAAAAAAGACTATGAGAAATAATTAATTGTTTATTTTAGTTTGTCATACATGCTCATAACGTTATTATAGGTCATTTCGTTCTTTGGGGAAAAATAACTTTGCTTCATTTTAATAATCGACCCAATTTTAACAAATATACCGAAACCCTTTTATCATTTCTTTTTAAGTATTTTATTGAAAAAATAAAATAAAAAGACAAAATCATTTGTTTAATTAACTTTAATGGTATTTGAATTATGTGATGGTTTGGTGATCGCTGATTGACATGTTGTTAACACTGGCATTTTGTTTGTTTCATCAATGGCACGACGCATTCGTTGTTGAACTTTATGTTTAAGCATTTCTTTACTTATTTCAACTTTTTTAATCCATGTTTTTTTCTTGAAAAACGACGCTTCTTCTAAACATTGAATAGCTGTGGATCGTGTTGTTGCACTTGAATAACGTTCATACGATTGCAATGTTGACTGACGAATTTCTAGATCAATACGAGATTTTATTGGACCAAAAGATGTAGTTTTTGGATGATCTGGTAAAGGTATATGTGAATCAAGATCAAGCATTGGAGCACGTTGAACAGGAACTGAACGTGACGCATCTTTAGAGTGCTGTTCTTGTTGTGGCGATTGTTCATTTTGTTGATATAATTCATATGTTCTGGTTGCTTTAGTTGCTGCAGTATCCAAAGCGATACGACTTGATGATAATATATAAGCATCAGCGGATGACATCATTGGTTGAAAAGCTTGTGTATTAGTTGTATGAGCAACTATTTCCAATTTATTGGTTGTTGTCGACACAATACTCGGTAATATATGTTTATTTTCTTCGCTAACAACTGTCGACGATGGTGCTACTTGACTTGTTTTTGATGTTTTTTTCATTTTTTCTTTTGATTCAAGAGATGCTAAAATGAAATAATTGGCTAAGTATGCAAATCAATCTTAGACCTTTTGTTATTTACTGTCAGATCGATTAGGATTAATGACTGTTGATTGTAATAAACTAGTAGTTGTTGATGAATTATCTAGTTCAACAATAGGTTTCATAGCTTTTGTGTTTGTTGCTGAAAACGACGCTAGATATTGACCCATGAAAAGTTCTGATGACGATGAAACATCTTCTGATATTGTTATCGTTCGATGCTTTTGTAAATCTGCTGATGTACGAGGTAGTGACGTAGGTGTTTGACGTGCTTGTTGAAGACGTGCACGAGCAATTTGTTTAGCACGTCTTCGTTCGTCTAATGCAAATTGTTTAATATATGCTTTCGTTTGAATAATTTTTTGTCTTTCTTCATCACTAAAACCAACGTAATGATCGAAATGATCCGATTTATTCGTACCGCTATAACGTGCACCTCGAAGCTGTTCTACTGGTACTTCAAATTTATTATTATATCCATCAATTAATACTTTATAGCCGAGTAAACCTGTTACGGGATAAATACGTTTCGCTGGCGATGCTGTGAAGAGGTGTCCACCGGTTCTTTTCCATACTTTTTCACGAGCTCGTTCGTACCAACTGAAAAATAAACAATTATTTCTAGATGCTAGGGTGCAAATTTGATTACCTTATAATTTTGCAGTACATTGATAATGAAATATGACCAAAAAATGCTGACAGCGCAAACACTGGATTAGAACTTACTGACGTCGATGATGTTAACAATTGTGTCACATATTCACCACTAGCAGTCAATGGTATTTTCAAATTAAATTGCTTATTTTTTAAATAATAATAAATTTCACTGTAACGTTGTTTTTCTTCTTTTGTATTTGCTGACAATAAATGTGCATTTGCCAATTGATAAGGCAAATAGTGTGTAGTAGGATCTCGTATTTGTGTACATAAAACTGAATGTCGAACAAAAATATCAACCATTTTAATATGGCCTCGTTCAACGGCAATATGAATAGGACATTTTAGCATTTCCGGTAAAGCTTGAGTACTAGTTTCCAAAGACCATTGACGAGATGGATGTTCACCTACAGGACGATCACTTCGTGCACCTTGTTCTATAACAGATCTAGCCAAATCCAAATGACCTTGAAAAGTAATTTGAGTCGATTATTTGCAGAATTAGTTTTTAAGTAAACTTCTGGATCCTAAAAAGCTCTTTTTCTTATGATTTGTTTATTATTCTAAGCTTAACAAAAACAATCCTTTTATTGAATCAACAATATCTTAGCTGTCAGAAAAATTTGCTCTGTACTATGAAGAAAACGAACTAAAACTATCGATCTCACCATAGAAAGCAGCAACATATAATGCGATTTGTGATTGATAATGTCGAATGACATCATCATGAGAAAAATGTTCTGTAAAACCTTTGATACAAGAATTGATAAATTTCTCATAACCTTGCCATACTTTCAAATAAACATGATCATGAACTTTAATATCATAAGTCATTAATTTCATATCATCATATAAACGTTGTTTACCATCATAACTTTCAAGACAAAATGTACTTAATGGTAAACCTATTTTATCCGAAATTTTTTTTCTTATTGTACCAATTGTTGTCCCAATTGTAATTGATGAATCAAATAATTTTAGTATTTGTTTATTAAATCCACAATGAATATAAAGATCAGCTGCTTGTTGTTGTCGTGTTACACAACGAATAATTGCTCCTGATGGAATATTTAAATCGCCAAATGTCCATTTTGGTTTAAGATCACAACCATTATAATTAAGCACAACTGATTTATCAGATGAACCATTATCGTAAACTTTAAGATCGAATTCTTGTTTAATTGATATAAGTGTATTTTCAACGCAATCATCTTCGGTAACATCAATTAATCTTAATGATTGACTTGGCGGATAAAATATGAAATAACGCATTTTTTTCTCATATATCGATGCGTCCTATAAATACAAATGTTTACAAGAATTTAACTGTAAAAAATACTTGAAACTAAACTTTCTTTGACACAAGAAAAAGAAAATGCTTTTCTTACAACGCAAATTGGGAACTTTGAAAATAAATATTGATTTCAATTCAAACATTTTGTGTTTTCGTATACGAACCAGTGATGTTCAAGCATTGTTTTCTTAGTTGCTATTTTCACTGGCTAAGTATGTCGATAAAAGTACTTGATAAAGAGAGAGAAAGAGAAGAAAAAGGCATTAAGATCTTAGCAATAGCTGTGCTGCTTGCGCATGCAGAGTATAATTGTTTGAGTTGCTAATACGCCCCATCAAGAGAAGCTTTTTTGGTGTTGATAAAAAATTGAGACGAAGGACAAAGAACGCGCAAGAATAAAGGTGTAGCTGTTAATCAGTTTAAATCTACAAGCACATTGAATATTTTTTCTTTTGTTCTTTTATTTTCTCTTGCCAATCGTATTCGAATATTATTTTTGAAATCGGATTGCTACTTTTATACTCCCTCGAAAAAATTACAACTCATCGATGAACACTCTTCTATAGCTTTGATAATGTTTATTCAACGGATTTCGAAGGATTCACTTTTTGAACGCAAATAATGTATTCAACGGCAATAACTTTCATACAATGATTTCTAATGTTAAACATCATTTTTTGGAAATAGTACGATAATTAAAAGTGATGCATTAGATAAGATACCTGTAAAAATAAAAATATACTATTTTTAGTCACAGACGCTTAATAATCAGACTGCTTTTTTTTTGTTTATTACTAATATTATAAATATTTTACTAAACGAAAAATTAAAACCTTAAAATAATAAAATTTTCCCAAATTGCCTCACCTTTCTGTGAACATGATTAATTCGTTTTGTCATATTTTAATTTTTTTTACCAATAAAAAAGTCAGCGTTTTTTATATTATAAAATAAACCATCTTGTTATAAGTTAATCGAAGTTTAATATAAAAGTTGATTTTTATTTCATTTTCGTTGTTTGATCTAATAACATTTATTTGACCTAAAAAAGCAGAGCAAGAGAGAGAGAGAGAGAGAGAAATAGTTTAATAAAAATAAACACTATTTTATCGATCGTCATCACACATAAAGTTGCAGCATGTTTGCGTCCGGGAATCCATAATAAAATCTTTCGTTGCTGTTTTGATGATGGCAATCATTGCACGAGCTAAACATTTATTTTACGCACACACACATATAGTATATACTAATGGCAACAATTGAAGAGATTAATGTTTATGTTAGCGTTTGAATGAGCATAGTAATCAATCAAATAGTTCTACTTATAGAGAAGAAGAAAACAATCACGATGAACGAAAATAAACGTTGAGTTTGTTTGATATTAATTCATAAATATTAAAATATGTATCATACATTTTAATTGATTACTTCAACTTGGAAATCGTACAAAAATCGCTACCCTTGAAATATTTATTAGAAAAGCATAACTATGACTTATAAGATTAGTATGCAAATTGAAACCATAAAATGAATCGTTCATTATGATTGGCGCATTGCGAATTTTTCTATATCATCGAAAATACCTATTCGTTAGGCGTTTATCTTTTGATGTGGCTAAAAATTAAACTCGAAATCGAGACAGGTTTTTTTAAATAAATTAGTAGACTAATATGCAAAACAAAAATTGTATTGATACCTGTGTAACATCATTGTAGTTTTATTTCTCAACGATTGAATCTTTGAAATCGAGCGATGCTTTGTGTGATCAGCAAACATATGTACATTACATAATGAAATAAAAGAATTTGATATGCTACTGTCAATTAAACTTTGATCCATTAGCAAAAGGGAATTTTTTTGTAAAGTAAACATTCTTTTCATTCATCACAATTTGTTTAACTTACAATTACGAGTAAATACGTACAGGAATCTGAAGAATGGTGATGCAAACTTCCGTTTCGTTACCAAACTTTACGATCATAATCGTGATGAGAAAACGAAAAAATTCTTCAATCAATTTTTCTGTGTCAATGCAAGTTTTTTTTTACATAATATATTGACTGTTCTTCATGGTTTTACAAATGTAAGATTGTCATAATCTCCTAAACTATTCAACGTGGGTGTTCGCATAACGGTCTCACATGCCCAAACTACACACACACTCCACATCCAAATTAGATCAATGTACTACAAAGTTGAATTTACACGCACCAACTTCTCGTGAAACTTTGACTATTTAGTCTAGGGACGTGGGCGGGGGGGGGGGGGGTGCCCACCCCCCATAAAATATAANCCCCCCCCCCCCCCCCCCCCCCCCCCCCGCACAGCCCCCTAATCTATGAAGTCGTACGACGACTTTTTTCTGTGCATTAGCATGGACTTTCCTATTATTTTATCTAATAGTACACCAAACCCGTATAAAATTGCGTGTGGGTGTGAGGAGGAGATCCACACCCTCAACTAACTTTTAAGGTGTACAATTCCATTGTTATAACAAATAAATTAAATTTTTAAGAACGTTGGATTTAAAAAGAACACTCAAAAACAAACCTTTTGAAATGATATATTCTATATTAATTATAATAGTAGAAGATGTCGGTGTTTTTTTTATTAAATAATCATCGTTTATTTTTAGTTCCGGTATGATTAAACATAAAGACAATGGTTAAAATATAAGATTTTAAGTAGAAATTTCGTTTGTTAAAAGATTTCATTTAATTATCATTTTTCAACGCGTTTAAACAATAACCAATTTTTTGAATTTATTTGGCAATATCACTATATAATTGTCTTTAATATGTATTGCTACTTGCAATCATGAATTTTTTCATGCGCATATTCGACGGCAATAATTACTTTTATTCCTACCCAGATGAATGAATTCGACAACGGATCTTATCGAATCCTATGGGATCCGACTCTCTGACAGAATCCGATAGGATTC